GGGGGTGGAATTGCCAACTTTACGTGATTAACAATCACTAAAATATTTGACTACTTTGTGATTTCACACAATTCTCACAAAAGTTTCTAGTCACACAGATACAAGCTAATTATAGGGTTTCACCCGCTACCCCGGAGTAAAGCGCAGGGCGTATAGCCAGGATGAGGGAGATGACGAACTCTGTTGGGCGAAAAGGATGATGTAAACTCTTGCCAAAACCTCGATGTACCGGTACGATTACAGGAGCTGGTCCGAGGGGTCCTGGGGGGTCGTGGAGGACGGACGGACCTGTGTCCTCCCTCCCCCACTTCCCTCCTCCCTCTCTACTGGCCTCATCGGGAACAGGGGCAGGAGAACAAACTGCTGGAGTCCGGTTTTTGAGGTTGAGTCGCTGACGAGAGGACCATGTTCAACAAACACACTTCCGATAGATATAATATATGCACATATTACAACAAAAAGACAGCATACATGACATACTAAAAGCTGTAAAAAATTCACTGTGTCTGTCTTATGAGAGCAAGCATAACCCCTTTAACCCTGATTGATGGCAATGTGTCTGCATTCTCAGTGAAAATCAGTTCCGGGTCCATTCTTGTGTATACAGATATACAAAATATGGTTGTGTACAAGGTTGTGTGGGTTCAGGGAAGGACATGAAAGCAGCCACACAACAGATTTGTTGTAGGCACATGCTGAGGTATATATATACAAATACCAAAAGGTACCTGCTTTGTTGATCCACAAGGTCGGATCACAGGATGTGTATGTATTACAACAGACCCACTGAGCTACAATTCCACAAGGACTTCCATCACCGCCTGTAATCACTTGTGGAAATGGTACTACACAGAGAATCAAGAGACACACAATAAGCTTGTGAGAAATCGTCCACCAGGGCCAAGCTCTTTTGTCTAGAAGTTGTCCTTGGAGGTGGCCTGTGTTGTTGATTGCGTAAATCTTGGCCCTACGTCTCCACTTGAACATACATACGTAAAGGACATGCACATGCCTCCATAGTTCACCACAGTGTACTCACCATGAGGAAGTCAGTGTACATATCAACCTACAATATAGATGACACATCCAATTTTCAATTGGCTACTACCAAAACCTTGCAATAATATGCAACCCAAATAAAAAACTAACAAAAAAAAAAAAAAAAACAATTAAAAAACAAACAAAAACAAAACCAATACAAAAAACAAAAACCAAAACACAAAAAACAAAACCAATTACAACATAATATTTCAACAGGACAGGGGCAATGATGTGCAGTAGCCGGAGTGTGTTGGGAGGAGTGATACGTGGCTCTTGGCCTGCGGGTTGGTGGCGGGGTTACTGTTCATGATCTCCTGGAAGGTGATGTCGAGCGCATGACCTTGGCCATACAAGGTTACAGCACATGATGATCTGATCCAGGTGTCTGTCCTCATCAGGTCCGGGGCCTGGAGCATGGCGTATCAAAACACGTCCACACCTACGGACGGGGAAAGATAGAGAAGTAAACATCAGTTTGATTATGCTTTTAGAGCAAAGGGCCCACCTCCTGACTACGATACGTCGGATTACTGGCACGTATGACACTTCTAGTACGCATATTTAACACTAGGTTTCAACTTCTAGTTTATACTTCCTTTATCCATTAAATTGCATAATCAGACTGCATAACGTGTGCATTACTCCACGGATGGTCTATGAGAAGTGCCCGGTAACTAACGCTCTCATAGCTTTGAACTCAGGATGAGTCCATTCAGACAAAAGTGGTCTACTGGGGGAAGCCACCCTCGCGTGGTAACGCAGAGTGGGAGGTCACAAGTATGGGAATAATCCAAAGGGCTTTACCGACATGCCAGTAACACACCTCCAAGTATTGGTTGTATAAGGAAGACCAGTTGGAAATCAATTAGTGCGGAGACATGATAGAAACACTCCTCTCCATTCCAGTTGGTAAGTAAAGAAAGGGAATCATGCTGCATGGCATCTCTGATTAAGAACGTACTGAAACACATGCAACCCAATGTGCAGAGCTGACATGGTCTCTCTCTCTCTCCTCTCTGTACAATGCGTCTACATAACAAATCCCCCTACATAACGAGGTCCCATAATATTACATGGTCCTTCTAGAGCTTTCTATACTTGCCAAAGCAGCCAAGGTAGACAAGACAGAGAGAGAAAGAGAGAAAGAGAGAGAGAGAGAGACAGAGAGAGAGAGTCTCACTTCTGGTGGAAGTCGACGCTCTGGTCCAGCCTCTCACACAGGTCCTTGATCCTCAGGTGACCTGTCATATACACCTTCCTGTAGAACAGGGCCAAGGAGCCCGTTTTCTTGGGACGAGGGGGGCTCGAGGATTTGGTGAGGGTGGAGGGGGTGGAGATGTGAGAGTGGGCGGAGCCTTGTTGTTGCCGTGGCGTCTTGGATGGTGAGGGTGTGATGGAGACACTGGGGATGGGAGGGGAGAGGGGGATGGAGGAGGAGGAGAGGGATGAAGATTGAGGGCAGCGAGATGCCGGGACTAATCCAGTCGGGGCTGGCTTCCCTCCAGATGACAGACTGAGGTTTACAGCCTGTGAGAACAGAGTAAACTTGTGTCAATAATGAGGTACAATATAATAGGCAAACAACAAGTCAACTACATGTACATACACCCTGTACACACAGTACATGCACATGTTACACTGCCTGCCCGACATCTCACCAACTGAACTCTAATCCATTTACTTACACGAGTTAAAACTTGGCTAGCACAATACCCAAAGAAATGTGTCAAGGAAAAAAGAACACATGTTGTTTCTCAGATCGAACATTAAGCCTAAAGCCACTAGTCACAAGAGAACCAGCTGACCTGAGCGATGGCAGAGAGGTTTCTGCCAGGAGACAGTAGACCGGCCATTGAGAGAGTGATGGGAGGAGCCGACGAGGTTTGACGACAGGGGCCGACACGGAGAGGTCTGGGTCCCCGCAGACGCCATGCTCACCGCCAACCGCAGCGGAGATGCCGGGTCCAACCTCCCCGGGCTACCTCCTGATGATGGGGAAGTCCCTGGCGAAATTGCCCCCTGGAGCTGCTGACTGATGCTACTATGCTGCTGCTGGAGATAGTCCCTGAGTAGAGTGACTGTCACCGTCCCTCCTCCCACTCCACCGCTGGTCCCTCCCGAGGAGCCTACTGCAGGCTTGGGAGCAATGGGGATGGGTCTAGTCGGTGTACCACTGCCTAGCTTCCCTGGGGTCTTCTTGGAGGAGGTGGTGGAGGAGGGGGAGAATAGTTGGCGCCGGGCAGAGCTTGGTGAGACCAGCTGCTCTCGGAGAAAGGTAGCTATGGGAGATGCCTCACCTAGTGCACACGCAAGAGTACACAGGTAATCACACGTACAGAGAGAGAGAGCACAACCACACATGAAATGAAAAGAAAACATGAAAGTGTTCGCATGCCCACAAACTGCACCCAGGAGATGAGACGGCTCGGTACGTGGTTTCCACAAACACTCGCACACATGCACAGTATACCATTAGGCTACAATATGGCTCTACTATAGGATCCCTGTAGTACATATAATGTGGGTGAAATGTTTTTTTTTCTGGTTCAGGGCTTTACAACGAATTCCTCTAACTCTAGTTTAGCAAAAGCAATATTCTTTCGTTACAACAGAACCATTTCCTACATAATGGCACGGTAGTCTAAAATGTGATCACCCTCACAAAGAGAGCTAGTCAGTCTCACCCCTGAGCCCTGCGAGAGACGAAGCCACTCTGGAGTGGGTGTGGTGTACGAGGGGTGTGGCCATGCCCCCTGCAGTGGGCGGGGGAAGAGCCACGTCCTCATAGGAGGAGGCGGAGCCAGCAGCCTCGATGGCATCGTAGAGGGGAGAGTCGGAGGTCCAGGCCAGGTAGTCCAGTACATTCTCCTCCACCTACAGACAGACACACACAGAGTCAGACATGTACAGCAGTGCAGTTAGTTTCCTTTATAAGTTGGCATATTATTCGACAAGACAGAAACTTGCCAGATCTCTCCCTCAGCCAGGTATAAATACTACTGATGCTATATTGACAGACACAGCTCAGTCGTCTGACATTTAGTGCCATTCTGAAGACAATGCACGTGGAGTAGTATGGGCTCTCCTGTTCCATGACTGACTGCACACGTATACAAACACAGCACAGGAGGAGCCTTGGCATCAAAACCAGGTGAATGTTCTCAGTCTCTGCGCGCTTGTATGGCACCTCATCATCCGCCATGCAAGAATGCTGCTGAGGTTAGTGCTAGGTTTCCCACCATGAACTGTACCTCAACACCCCCAACATGATACACATCACTTCCCTGCTAACTCAACTCCCTTCCTAGCAACAGTTACAGTTACTATATAGTCTGTATCTACATACTGACCCTGTTGAGGTGTTTGATAATGCTGCGAGGTAAATTGGTCTCCACCTTTATGGCCACCTCAATCACCTTGTAGAAATGATAGGCGCTCACTTCAAACACCCCCAGAACCCAGGGGAACACCCTGCAATAAACCACAGTAACAATATAGTCAAATTGTGTTGGTAGGGCACAAGGTCTATACATACACAAGTATCTGTACGTGCACAAGATTGTCACACAACTGCAAACAGGAACCGAAGAGTGTCAATTCTCAATAAAGAACACTTGTTTAACTCGAGTAGCCTGTGTCTCTTGACAAAGAGCACTCCTCGTATTTCGTGATACCAGCGTGTCCTTTATTGGGAGGTGTTCCACTATATTCGTCTCTTCCCCTCTCCCTCCCCTTCTTTCACAACTCCACTGTACTCTAATTAGCAGAACACACGTCTCTTTAAAGGGACGGAGAGTATGTCAATACTCTGACCATACTCCCTAAATGTGTTAGAGAACTAGCATACTACAGTGGACTAAGGACACCCCTGAAGTGAGGACACCTCTCTCGAAATAATAAGCACACCTTACTGATACACTTTCTTCTGTCCATCGTGTCAGTTCCACTGTTGATGAACATTGCATACTATTTTTGGGGCAGGAGCAACCAAACTGTTTATTAGACGTAGTAGGTACATACTACGTATGTATGTACTTATGCCCCCACCTAGCATATATAATTTTATTGCAAAAAAGCTCATTGGGACAACTACATACTCTAGATTGTCTCACTCCCACATGCCAACTGACAGAGAGTGTTACATATACGTACTATGTATGTAGTTGTAGCAACATTCTCCCATATGTCAGTGGTGGTGGTAAATTACGATATGGACAAAATGAAACAGACCTAGCTATAAAATGCCCGATAATTTTCAGTATGCAAAATGGAGTCCTCCCACACGATATGTAGCTACACACACAGACACACCTTTGCCATTTTTGCCACCCTCGATTTTCTCTCTTTCTCCCTCTTTTTATTCCTCTCTGTCTTCACTCTTCCTCTCTATTTCTCTATCCCCCCTCCTCTCTCCTTTCTATCGCATATTTACCCTTCTCTTCTCCCCTTTCCCATCTCGCTCGTTTTAAATCTTTCTCTCGCCCTTCCACTCTCTTTCCCATTCCCATCACTCTCTCTCTCTCTCTCTTCCTCAACTTCTGTTGGGCATCTATTGTGACTAGAGAAAATGAGTGAAATACACACATGAGCTACAACTGCCAGACAAAGCTAGTCTTCTCCATTCACTGTGTTTGGCAGATGCAGTTTTCAGAGGATGCAGTTGGTTCTTTCGCTTTCCATCCTGGCCTGTGTGTTTCTACCATCCTGGCCTGTGTGTTTCTACCATCCTGGCCTGTGTGCTTCTACCATTCTGGCCTGTGTGTTTCTACCATCCTGGCCTGTGTGTTTCTACCATCCTGGCCTGTGTGTTTCTACCATCCTGGCCTGTGTGTTTCTACCATTCTGGCCTGTGTGCTTCTACCATTCTGGCCTGTGTGTTTCTACCATTCTGGCCTGTGTGTTTCTACCATTCTGGCCTGTGTGTTTCTACCATTCTGGCCTGTGTGTTTCTACCATTCTGGCCTGTGTGTTTCTACCATTCTTCACCCACCATGTACTATCTACAGGGTTAGCTACATATACAAGAACACAGCAATATACGTGCGTATGTACCTGCTGTGTGAGTTGTAAGAGAAGAGGACAATCTCGGTGCTGAGAGCAAACAGAGCCTTGTGGAACAGCTCGTGTTCCAGCATGATCTGGAGTGTGGTCACGTTCACCTTCTTGACCTCGGCCTCGTCCCGCACCACTCCCAGGAGGAGCTTGTAGTAGAGAGAGGTGGCCAGGTGGAGGCGGAGTTTCGTGAAACTGTCTGGAGTTGTCTCCGTCTCCTGTGGGGAGGTGAGAGAGACACGATAATTCCTACAGCTCTAGAAAGTTTACATTTTGACACCCATTCAACAAACAGTTAAAAGTATACACAGTAGGACACAGTATTAAGAGTATATATTACATTTAGCTCCGTGTACTTTCAATTTGCACTCATGAATACAGTATATGTTACATTTAGCTCCGAGTACTTTCAATTTGCACTCATGAATACAGTATATACTATATTTAGCTCCGAGTACTTTCAATTTGCACTCATGAATACAGTATATACTACATTTAGCTCCGTGTACTTTCAATTTGCACTCATGAATACAGTATATACTACATTTAGCTCCGAGTACTTTCAATTTGCACTCATGAATACAGTATATACTACATTTAGCTCCGAGTACTTTCAATTTGCACTCATGAATACAGTATATACTACATTTAGCTCCGAGTACTTTCAATTTGCACTCATGAATACAGTATATACTATATTTAGCTCCGAGTACTTTCAATTTGCACTCATGAATACAGTATATACAGTAAACATAAGAAGAGACCACCCGAATTGAAATATTCATCTCCCACCACGACATGATGTACAGTGTAAGACCCGAGCAGAACAAACAAAGACATTAAGGGGAAAATGTACAGCATAGTGACTCAGACAAGAAGTCGTGCAATGATAAACTGCCTGAGAACCGTGAGTACTGAAGGAAGCAAGAGGCAAAAACTGGATTCCTCAGTGACTCGGAGTTTCAGAATTGAGCAGAGTTTGGCCACAAACATTCCTTTCCTCCTATATACTATTTTCCTTCTACCCATCAACACCATGCCATATGATACAGTAGTAGAGAACTGCTATATATAGGTGTATATTATGCTGGTGAAACCCTGACCAGTTTCTCTTATTTCTTCCACTTCCTCCGCTCAACAAAATTTGTTGCATTCGTGTACTATAGGTAATCAGTGAATGTCTCTGTACAGTATCAATCAATACCTGTGGAGAGCATCTGAGGAAAGCCTCTCCCAAGCTGGCCACTCGTCTCTCGATGTCGGGGAGAGGGTTGGCCGTGCAGGAACCACACATCCGGCAGAGGTCCTCAGCCGGCGAGGGAGGTTTGTTCTCCAACAGGAGGTGGAGCTGGGTGACCGAGTGAGTGGCATCCGACACTGGCGTCATACTGGAGGAGAGGGAGGGAGGGAGGGGTAGGGGGTGGAGTCAAGAAGGGAGCAAGCCAACAACCCTATTGCAATATAAAGGCACTTCCACCAATGAAAATGTGTTGTTGAAAAGCTTAACCCTTTTTAGATACAACCATAAGCTGTTGAGAGTGTGTCAGAGTATAAAACGGAAGGCGAGAGAGAGAGGACAGATATCGGAGACAAAGACCCACCTGTTACTGGCAGTAGTGAGATACTCTCTCCCTAGCAGTGGAGTACGGTACTGCACGTGGTGTGGCGGAGTCTGGAGATGACAGGGAAGAACACGGTGGACAACACTTGCTACAGTATCCCACTTTTCACAGTAGCAACTCTATGTATGTGCACTTGTACATTGCCTTTCTATATAGCAGTGCAATGTTTCACGTTACATACGTGCAGTGGAGGTGGGCACATGTCACATTCCTACATCCAGCAGTGTATTGCAGCTACATTTCTAAGCACCTAGTGGCCAAATACAGCTAGTACACGTACCTAACGGAGCCCTAGGAATTCATGTACTTCATGTACTTTAACTTGGTTTGCATGCACGTGGAACTGAGTCCAGTACACAACACTACAGATACTAATGCAGTCTACAGTGGTGTACATAGTACTATATAGGCCCAGTGTGTAGTATAATGTACAGTCCACATACAGCACTTCACATAGTAGCAGTGTGTATTACGTAGTGCATAACGGAACCCTAGGAATGCATGGCACCTGGACAACCTTCAAAAATGTTTAGGAATGTGGAACAGTTCTACAGATACACAAACACTCTCGTCCACAAAATCTGTTGGCGTAGTAGCTGGCAGGCCTGGTGTGTATAGTACCTGAGTCATCATGAGTCGGGCAGAGAGAGTGGTGTTGAGGCGAGACGGAGTCCCGATCTCCTCGCTGGCGTTGGGATGGAGGAACATTCTCTCATCGAAATCACCGTTTGCCAGCATGTTAATCTCATACTCCCTGTCCAGAGCCCTCCTGAATAGGGGGGGCAGATCAAACAGAGGAGGATGTATGTACACACAGTATGTGGACATACAGTTTTGAATGACATGAATCAGTTGGTAATTTCACAGGATGTTAGGAAAGCATGAAAGTATATAGTTTTCGGTTTCCGACCGCATTATTCACAAAACTGTTTTCACAACTAAGATTTTTGTTAGTGTTCATGTGTATGACATGGAGGTTAACTCACTGGTTGCTGTGGAAGTTGGCATAACTGATCATGTTGACAAAGGCAGAATCAATGGTGACGCTGTGTTTCAGATTTCCAGCCTGCAACCCTGAGAGTTCCTGTCAGTGTGTGTGTGTGTGTGTGTGTGTGTGTGTGTATGAGTGCGTGAGGAAGAGAAAGGATTAATGTTTGAAGTACGGTGTGAGGGGAAGTAAGCTACACACATGAATGAAGTGGCCAGGAAGTGGAGGACAATCACATACAGCACGGGTGTCTTCTCACCTTCTTCTCAAACATCCTTTTCATTGGTCCTCTCCAGTAGAAGTCTCGTATCACACGACACTCCTTCTCTATTGCTGCATGGGGGAGGAGCAAAGAGAACACTGCATGTGTTTGGTTGTACGCAAAACTTTGACACTATCTGAAGATAAGGGTAAATTTCTAACACTGAAAAAACTATTAAAGTCTATGTTACTACAAAGTAAGTATGTATTCCAGCTCTGAAAGAAACCCAGTGTAGTGAGCAGTTTTAAGCCGTCCTTGTCTATGTTACTACAAGTGTACGTACGTGTAACACAAAACAGTTGTGCCATTTGTCAAAGTGTTAGTTGGTGTCGATAAAAAATTCCCAAGAGAATCTGTTGCGTATAATACCTCCGTATTGTTCAGAGAGTTCGGTCAAGACACACATCTTGTCATCGGAGGTGACAAAGTTGGGGGAGGCAAAGTCTTGAGGGAGGAGAGGGCAGTCGGGGTTCAGTAGATCTCGTCTTTTCCCAGCCACCGCTGCACAGAACAGCATGTCCATGCAGCAGAGGAGAAGGTGATGGGAGTTGACGAGATCGTCGTTGATTTGAGGGTACTGCCCTGTAACGAATGGAGAGATGACCCATGTGACATATGTATGTGCCGTGAGAAACTACAGAACGTGTGGTTGTGCAAGCAGTTGCAGGTTGAGTTGCAGGGTTTGTGTCTCAAATTATAACCAACACCCAATATGCCAAATATGAGTGACCACAGGAGCTGCCAAATACAACAAAACCCATACATTAGACACACAATGCTGGGACATTTTAGGAGCTATATAATGTACATACCTTGCTTTACATCGTAGCAGCGTACAGAGATTATGCAACCATTGGACAGTTTGGGGTATATATATATACATAGCAACAGCCGGAGGATGCTCAAATACCTTTGATGTGGATGTAGAGTGTCCACCCAAACTTGAATAGCTCTGCAGTGGAGCAAGGTTTGTTCCTGTGAGGGTAAGAGGACGGGAGGGAAGGGTGGGAGAATTAGTAGAGAGAAAGAGACCATGTTGCAGATAATATTAAAGGTTATGATCTAAAAGCTTGCCCCTGAATGAAAATACCCCCCACCTACAGTCACTTTGTACTACACGTGGTGTCTAGACTTTCAACCCTTTTCTTACAGCTAATTAGGCTGTAGCATGTTCACTAGAGAGCAGCATGATGAGAAAATGTGTACTTCAAGTACATATGAGCATTATTGAGAACTAACCCATGTTTTTTCCGTCCTCCGCGACGGCTGGCGGCGGTAGGTTTCTCATCGAGGGGGGAGAACAGGTCGTGGAACACTCGGTGGTACTTGGAGAAGATGATGGACGCAACTTCAAACTTGCGCTCCAGAGTGTCGATCTTCTTCTGGAAGTCGTGCAGCAGTTTAGTCATCTCCTGCCACTTCTTCATCTTCTTGAAAAACTCTATCAGACTGGAATATTGGGGGAGAGAGAATTGCGTATAACACACGGTGGTGCATAATTTGGTGTTTTGCACACTTATCTCTATCAAACTACCACATAATATTAATGTGGGTCCTGACTCTGAGAGGGAGTTCTGATCAAACTATTAGAGAAATATTATTGGTGAGTGCGGCTAGCCCACCTACTGCACGGTAACAACCAGCGACTGCACAACGAAATCCGCATGCGCGAAAATCACGCACATCGATTTGAAGGTTGCTTTGATCACCAAAAATGGGATTGCATTGGTAGGGTAATGACTCTATCCAACTGAGAGAGAGGTTACAACAGGGTCCTGGCTAGATTTACCACTAACAAACCTCAATCCAATTACCCACTGATTGAAAGGAGACCACTGCAATTTAGGATTATCAGTGTGTATGTGTAACAGTGCAATGGGGGAAACAGGTCCACCAGAGATAAGAGATGCTTGGAAGTGTTTATCTGCCCAATTTCACTGGGAGGGAACCCTAATAAGCAGTTCCCATTCACTGCAATAGGAGGAGTGGTAGGCAAGAGACAGTGCCTCTGTGTGTGTGGTGTGTGTCTGTCACTGGTAGAAAAGGCAGACACTAGCTCCAGTGAATACAGGCCATTGTAGGGAGAGACCAGGTATCGATTACACTGCACTGTCGACAAGTCATCTTTCTCATGTTCACTAAATTTGTCCTAACACACACAGCCCTTTGCCCCTGAACAATCCACAAATCCCAGTAGGTGTGAGTACTACTATGTACTACTAGGGTCATGTTGTATTGTCCAAAGCTCTTCATCGTGTTCATCCACGACTGTACACACGGCTGTACATACACATGGATCAATGGCCCAGGAGCCATCTGTGCCAGCACTATACATCTGCCACCAACCAGCTAGAGAGAGGAGTCTACAGGACCCCAAGTAAAAACTAACAGACCGCTCAACATGAGTGACACTCTCTTTCACTCCCTGAAAGCACAATAATTAGAATAAGCTATCTGACTATGTGAAGTAACAGGTTGTTGAAAGCTCCTCTAGTTGCGAGAGGGGTCACTCTGGTATAAACAGACAGCACATTAGAACAGCAGCAACCAAGAAGAAAAAGTGACTCTATTCACGGTCAAATTCACAGCAGGGAGTATCATGGCTGGGGAATATGAGTCAGCTGCTTATTGCTGTGATGGTAGCAAATGTTCACTAAAAGTGTCAACTACACAAGACATTCGATACTAGTGGGTTGCAATGATGTGTGTACACATGGCATGGTATATAATATAACCCATCAACATAATTATCATCACAGACGTGGCAAACCTTAGCTTGGTGCTCCTCAGAATGTGGGTCAGGGAAACGTTATTCCCAGTTGCTTGGACTCCCTCTACAGTCTCCATGGTGGACAACTGACCAGCCACGTACAGCGCACAGCCCAACCACTCAATATGGTCTCCCTGCAAAAAAAAAGTGGTATGTAGGAAAATCTTGGTAAAACACTCCGGCAAAGAAATTCTCATTGTAAGCGGACTATGAACGGTGTTTGCAGGGGAAGAAGGCAGTCTCTACAGGCAAAACAGCGAAGCCTCTTGGCTGACATAGTGCGTTTAGCAGCTAGCTAGCTAGCAGCGCGCTCCCAGCCAGCCCTTCCTACTCGAGCTAGCCGGTCGGCCCGCGCCAGGGTGCTGCCCTGCCAGCGTCCCAGCGGCCATCCCAAAGGCTCCGGCAAACACTAGGACGGTTCTCCAGGTTTGGTTACACGTCTATTCACCCCCGAGAGGCGCCTGGCTCACCTCCAGCACGTAGTCGTTGTTGATGTTTTTGTAGGAGCTCCAGGCCTTCTCGGCCGTCTCCTCGTCCATGTTCAGCTCGGCACAGACGTCCTCGTACCTGGCCCGGACCACTCCCGGCAGCTCTCCTCCTCCGCTCATTGTCCCTCTGGAGAGCTTCTCTCAGTAAAATACTTGGCCCAGTTCCTTTACTCTGGCCACAAAAAGCTTCGAATGCAACAAGCGTCGAAGTTGCTCCCCGTTGACCTTTCTGTGAGACTTCTGGGATATCCGACTTCTGTAAACAACTGCGGCGCTTCTTGGGGTACTCTGGAGTTGAACAGACTGTTTCACTGGCTCGGAGTGAGATCTTTGAAGCTTCACGCCAATCCTCGCACAGAAAAATACTCCCCAGCTTACAAGCTTATTTATCGAGTCTTTCTTATTCCAGGAGGCTTCTTGAAGCAGCGCCAAACTCTATTAGGTCACTCTCCTCACTGGCAAACGGTTCCTTTTCCCCAGCGTGGCTTTTCTTCTCGACACTAGAAGTTCATAAAACGGAGGCTTTCGGCCGTCAACGCGTGAGATAATGACTTCACCCGCGTAGCCCCAACGGACCAATCAAAACCCAGGAATCGTCGCAAAGCGCGCGAAAATGTCGTAAGCCACGCCCAATTAATTGACCACGCACCGTAACAATATTCATGATGGAAAACCAGTGGCGTTCCTCTGGATACTGGAATACATCTCTCTAGCCAATTACTTATACATATACACATACAAACAGAAAAACAGCAAAGTTCTGCCCCGACTGCGCTCTACTGGTGGTGCAGTGCCAGCCTGAAGATGTCATTGAACACAAACAGACCATCCCCGACCTGCTTCAGGTAAAACACCTCAGTAAACCCATGAATTGGGTCACTATCAGCCTGCAAGTAAATACAGAACGAAACAGCTTCACAAATTGTGCCGAACTGACGCTCAAGCACACATGCTATATGTCCATTGTGACAACAACGCCGGAAAGCACTGGCCAAGGTTTATTTACAACATAGAGAGTGTATTGCTCAGAAACACACAAAACCGTCTACTCCTCAGTCAGCAATTCCAAGCATGTGCTGTAAAAACATTTCAAAGACTTTTCAGGTGAGTGCTTTCAACGCACTTTTAGTTGTCCGACAACAGTCACAAGAAGACCCCCGTCCACTGTTAGGTGAAAGTCATGTGTAGTGACTTGGTGAACAATTGTCTGGAATGGCAGACTCTATATATGCAGAGAGATGACATTATTCAGGGGAAGTCCCTTCAGTAATACACACACACCACACATTAGTGTGAACACATGACGTCATGAGGTAGACTCACAGTTAGTTTCTGGACAATGGCTTCTTGACCGGAAAACAGTTCCCCTTCATAGCTAAGCATTGCTCCTTGGCCCTAAATGGAGGTGGAGGGAGAAAACGGGGCGTGGTTGCACAAAAGAAAAGTGCAAGCTAAGTGGCCGGGTCCTCACGTATAAGGGTGCGAGGCCTGCTCTATTCGTGTCAAATGTCTGGTAGAAGGCCGCCACGAACTGCTTGCCAATGACTTCGGGTGACGACATGTTACTCTCTCCTCACCTATAAAACGCCTCCCAACGTGTTGCGCATGCCCAGTACACCGTTTTTGTTTTGTGGGCATTATTTGGAAAACAGTCAGCTACTGGGGGGTTCCGACGCCGGGACACGGTCACAATCGGGCGGAATCCGTGCCGAGCTGTCAGTTCTGTCCACTCTGTTTTCCGCTGTAGAGAGGGCGAAGTCTCCTTTGGTAGGTCTGCAGAGCCATGAGTGCCAAAACGCCCTACATCGGCAGCAAAATCAGCCTGATATCAAAGGCTGAAATCCGGTATGAAGGCGTTCTCTATGCCGTGGACACCAAAGAGGCGACCGTGACACTCGCGAAAGGTTTGTTTCCCTTTTGTACATATCCTTGTTTATTTAGACAAACTTAGAGTGTGGATGTTTGCAAACCGCATCGCTCTTTCTCGTTTCTCCCTCTGACAGTTCGGTCTTACGGTACGGAGGGTCGGCAGGTGCCCAAGCCCATTCCGCCGAGGACAGAAACGTACGAGTTCATAATCTTCAGAGGCAGCGACATCAAGGACCTGCATGTTAGCGAGATCCAGGCCAAGACTGAGCAGCAGGACCCAGCTCCCCAGGACCCTGCCATCCTCTCTGCTGTAAGTACATGTGTGTGTATGCATGTGAAAACTACGATGTAGAAAGGCAAAGACACAGCAAACAAATCAACTACACCCAGGACAGCTCTTTTTCCAAGGGAAAAAGAAGAGCTGCCCTAGGTGGGATTCGAACCCACGCCGCTCTTAGTCTAGGCGACCATATCAGCGATGAGGTGCCAAAGCGCACAGCACGGCTACACTCAGGACAGTTAGAGCTGCCTTGGTGGCACTCGAACCCACCACACTTGCAGTTTGTGGAGTGTGTTGTGACCCAACTTGGCCAACCTAGTCAAAGAACAATGAGTGGAAGAATGTTCAATTATTCTGCTCATGTAACTGTTTTCTCCCTCTTCATCGCTGCTCCCCAGACATCACAGGCTCCAGTACCACCCCCTGCTACCAATGAACCAACACCGCCCTCCTCCTCTGCCCCCTCCTCTTCCCAACCACTCTTCGTCCCTCAGTCCCAACACCCCACGTACTCCCAGTTTCCCCCGGCACCTAGTGGGTTCCCACCATTCAACATTCCGTATTTCAAGCCTGCCATGATGATGGGAGCAGGAGGACCAGCTGGGGTCCAGAGACCACCTCATATCCCTCCAATACCGACTCCCCAACACCCCCTCCACCCTCTCCCACTTTCTTCCCACCAGGTAATGTGTATGTGGTGTAATGCTCTGTCTCAATTTGTATGTACGTATGTTCTCGCTGTCTCTCTTCCCGCCACTTACAGTACAAATGTATAAAGCTTTGAAGCATTGGGAAAACATACAATGATTTGTGACATCATTGAGGATGTTTTGTGTTCGTGTGACCTCGTGAACAGTATATTGTATTCCAGGTGTGATAGTGTGTGCTCGGCCCTTGATAACTAACTTACAGTAGCCGTTGGGTTAGACAGGTTCTCTGTTGCAGATCTGTATCACGCGCTGTTGGTTTTGCAGACAACAGTGTATCGGTTTCAGCACGTGTGTATGTACATTGAAAATGTGACTAATCTCTAATTCTCTCACCCAACAGCCCTTTCCACCGTTCATGCCTGGCCAAGTACCCATACCTCTCTCGCACAAGTCTCCGTTTGTCCCTCCCAACCTCCCCTCCTCTTTTGCCCCTCTCATCAGTACGATAATGAGACCCAGCCCTGGTGTGATAGCCGAGGGAAAGAGCCAGTCGCCTGTCGCCTCCTCGACCCCCCAGACCACTACTGGACTGGCTACTGACACCCACACCACCAGTGGAGACAGCACCACTCCTGGTCAGTGTGTACTGTGTATATATACTATGCTCTGAAGTCAGTCTGTATTGTTTGCGAGTCCTGCCTCAAGTAAATTTGGTAGATGAGAGACCATTGTATTGCAGTCTGTAATATTTTTTCTGTGTAATTTGGTTCATTGAGTGTTGGCACTGGTGAACGGTTTGAGGGTCAAATTAACAGGGCTGGCACCAGAGGGCACCAGGGGGACACGGTCCCTCTTAACTCTTCATTTGTCCTCTGTGAATATGCTTCTCCCTCTTCATCGAGGGTTTGCACTTTAGTGCTTTTCATTAATGGGGTAATTGGCCACTGATTGTGTATATTATAATAATCTTGAGGTCTTCTTTAGGTCTTCTTTCCCCCCAAATTATTATAGCAGGCCTGCTGTTATTTGGATACACTAAATTTGTTGCATTGTCCCCCTGCAATCAATCTCTGGAGCAAGCTCGGAAATTATGGTGTAGGCACTAGCTTCTTGAAAGTGCTAACAAAATGCAGTGTAATAGTGACTCTAAAACGCAGTCGTAGCTGTGCAGACACCAACACACTGGAGAGACCTAAAGAAGACCTCAAGATTATTATAATATACACAATCAGTGGCCAATTACCCCATTAATGAAAAGCACTAAAGTGCAAACCCTCGGCAAACTGCGCATGCGCGGTACCACTAATTGATGGGCTGGGCTTGTCTTTTCTTTACTCGGCTAGCTACAGTAGTAGATTGCATGCAGGAGTTGACACGTGCCCTTCGTTGTGACTTCTTGTGCCTTCAAGATACACAGAGCAAGCGGAAGCGGTCGAGGTAAGCCTGTACTAATTACCATATTGGCTTGTTCACTTGGTTTTCACGCCATAACTTTAGAACGCAGTAGTTTTACGAAAATCGCCTTTTTTAAAATCAACCCAGTGTAGCACTGAACCCGATCATATCGCTATTTACCTGATTTCGTGCGCGCGGTGGCAGAAAACGTGGTAACAGACAGACTGACAGACACACTTACGAAACAACTACCGTAACCCTCGCTGCGCATCCGCGCCGAGGGTTAATAATGGTGATCCTAAAACATCTTTTTCCCCTCTTTCTCCCCCACTCTCTCTACTCTAAAATATATTTTGCTCTCAGCTCAAACCACTCCCCAAGCTGCCAGCGAGTCAGAGTCGCCATTGGCGAGAATGAATCACGTGTCACCGCCGTCACAAGTAACGCAGGCACCTCCTCCCTCCTCCCTCTCCCACCTCCCACCGTCCCTAGACTCCGCCCCTCCCTCGGCTCCAGGCCAGGGAACCAGTCACACAACCACAACAGCTGGAAATGTAAACCAACAGCACCAACCAACCACCACGTTGCAGGTAACTTATACATACCCCTACAGAAATCTGAGACTGTGGTTCAATAATGACCAAATATGAAATTTGAGCCATTACCACACATGTACTTGCATCATGAATGGTATTTACTCCTAGGCTACAAGCTATGTATATAGATGTCTAATACTGGTGCCAACTATATAGCCACATACTGTACATACGTATACTTAAAGCTTAAGGTTTGAGCTAATCCTAGCTTCGTGGGGGAAGTGTGCATACCCCTTAGGAGGTCTGGAACTGTGCTGTACATTCAGTGTACCTTCCTGTACCAACAACCTGCATGTCTTGTGTGCTGCTAAACCCTAGTCTTATATATAGCTTAGTGGTAGATGAGCCCCGTAGCCATGATTATGGCAGAAAACCAACCAGGTGACGGGTGTAATACAACATGTATTGTGGCTCCACTAGTACTGAAGTTGCCCCACCAGCTGTAAGTGTATGTTGTGAACAGGTTTTCATTCCCACTGTGTTTGTGACAAAGACCTTGTGTATCCCTCTCCATCCCCACAGACACAAACCCAGTAATTGTAACTCGTACCAGCACTTACATGATGACATTACCCGCGGTGTATGTATTCCCTCTCCACAGACACATGGTGGAGGTGGTGGCGATGAGGAGAAGGAGTCTCTCCTGAAACAAGGCAGGGACAGTGGTGACAAGGCCCCTCTCATTAGTGAACCTCCTCCTCAAACAACGGCAGAGAGACGAAACAGTGCCGGCACTAGAGGACGGGACAGAAGTCGTGAGTCGTCCAGTCTGTGTGTGTTGTTAGCTAGCAAATCAAGCATAATAATTATACTGTTCATTGGTTCACCCACAATAATCTCTAGTCAATAATCTGTAGTCAGGATGTCGGAACATTTTGACACCTACAGCCTTAATCTGTACTTGGTCAACTGATGTCCAACAACAAGATCCTCTGCTGCACGGCATTTTGCATGCAAAGGCCACATCATCACAGACCTCCTTTTTTACACAACTATTTTCACAATCTGTTGTTCAGGTGGTCGTGGAGGACGGAGAAATTTCCGTGCTGGCCCCCACAGTTGGAGCAGAGGGGGTGGCCCCCCCAATCAACACGAGCCCACCTACCGCTACGAGAACGACTTTGACTTTGAGAGTGCCAACGCCCAGTTCGACAAACAGGTTCTGGAGGAGGAGTTCAAGAAACTGAGAGTCGGGAAGAGCAAGTCTGCTGCAGCAGAGAGCGGCACGCCTTCTGCCACGCCCACCACTGGAAGGAGTGTGTCTGAGGACGTGGGTGGCGTGGTGGAGGAGGAGGAGGTGGAGGAGGGAGAAGTGATTGATGAGCCCGAACCCGAGGAGTTCTACGACAAGACCAAGAGTTTCTTTGACAGCATCAGCTGCGAGAATCCTGGAGGGAGTCGGTGAGTCTTCTACACGTGGAAAAGGGGGGGTTTTCACATGTATTTTGGTTGGATATACGAAAGGCAGTATGTAGTTTACTGTGAATCTAAACCTTGGGTATTTTGTACGACAGCATCTGGTCCAGGTGTGTGGATGAGGTAATCCACATTTATCTGTGCTGTTGATGTACACGTATAATGTGTGGACATATGCAATGTGACACTTGTTTGGTGTATGTGTATGTATAATATGTACATACATCTATGTATGCTAACATTCCTCAATAATATGTTATACACAGCTACACTAACAGAAACGAGGAGAGAGAGCTCAACACGGAGACATTTGGCGTGAGCAGTGTGAACAGTCTGCGGAGGGGGAGGGGGAGATGGAGGGGCGGTGGCCGAGGACGAGGGAGGGGAGGATACGTGAGGAGGGACTACTACTATGGGAGAGGTGGGGGGAGCAGAGGAGGGAGAGGAGGAAGGAGAGAGGACGGGAGAGACGGCGGTAGTAGAGACACGAGAGAAGACAGACCACCCAGAAGGTTAGGCTCTCACTGTCCATCTGCACCATAACAATACAGCAGATTTTCACTGCTACAGTATTATTCTCCCATCAATTGCTACACGAAGACCATGACTATTATATACATTGCATGCATGTCTCCACAGAGGTGGTGGGTACTACCGGTCAGCGGGTGGGTGGTACAGGGGAGGTGAGAAGAGAGGGAGAGGAAGAAGTGAGAGAGGAAGGAGAGGGTCAGTAGACCAGCCGGCAGCAAAACCCACTGCTGCAGGAGACCAATAATGAATGATACTGGACCTGGACCAAATGCCTACCATACGAAAACTATGTTACGCTGTGTATGTACATGAAGTGAGGCTTTCAAGATTTTTCAAGTCTGTTACATTATGTCGTTGCATCTCATTTCACTGATCTTTATTCCACTATTGTACTCTTGACTGCAGCAATGCAAGTCATCAACCGATACTTACGTGTAAATGTACTACACTGTTGTTGTCGTTTGATCTCCTATTGAACACTTGCAATTTTTTCATCATTGATTGAAACTAATACGTGACTAAATGTGATGTCTTGCATGTGCGAAGTTGGTCCTAGGTCATTTGAAGCCTGTATAAGATTCTGGTAAAATACTCTGCTGGGACAGTGTTAACGCACATTAACACTCCCCCCTCCCCCCAAGAGCCAGTTTATCTGCACACGCTTGTTCTGTGTGTCAGCAATGCAAATTGGATGGACAGCACTGATTAGCATTCGATCATTGTTTTGTGTGCGTTCTCGTATTTGATTGCTGTGTTTTCTGTGGTGTTTTATTCCTTTTTGCACGTGTGTTCTTGTCTCGCTCCATTGCTTGTGGATTGGTATATTGACATACAACCCCCAAGAGAGCGAAGAGATTTATGTGACTCTTTGCTTATGTGAGTGGATTACGCACATAATATTAAGCAAGCACAGTATTTTTTATCTAGTAAGTTGGCCTCATTCCATTTTGATGCTGCTAGTATTATATATATAATACTTATTTACCAACACCGCTTTGCTGTGCTACCTATTGTTCCCCGTTACTCTACTTTCCTTATTCCAACGTACTCGCGCCTTTATAGGGCCCGGGATACAACTTGTACTAGGAATGTGAATTTTGGTTGACATGCACAGATTTCTGCTTTGACCGTCACTAACTAGGTTCGTAATCCCTTTTAATTGTTAATCTCAGTCAGTTATGGAACAAAAACAGTACAAGATATACAAATTATGATAGTCGTGGTTCACTAGTATGCCTTTTAATCTGTGGTTGGAGCTGGCATTAGTTCTGATAAAGGCCCTCCTCTGGCAGTGAAAATATCTGCACACGCTTGTTCTGTGTGTCGGCAACATAAATCTTCATGTTGGAGTCAACAAAGACATGGTTTGGTCGACATAGCTGGCCCTCCTCTGTCCCTGTCCCTCCGAAATAGTGCAGGAGCTCTCCGTCGTCTCCAAACACTGAGACACAGTCTGATTCACTTTCTGACACCACAATCTTCCCGTCCTTTGCCACCGCAATGCCGTACGGGTCTTGGATGTGACCGTCTCCGATTGTCTTGATAAGCTCGTCTCCCTCGGTGTTGATGCACCACACGCACCTCTCTCCCCGATCGGCGATCATGAGTCGGCCCCCTAAATCAAATGTAATTCCAGCAGGGTCGTGAAAACTCCACAAACTCGTCTTTTTTCCCTCTCCTGTAGCAGCCCTTGATCGACCGGATCTTCTTCCCATTCTGGCCATTGTAGACGTAGACTCGTCTCCTGCTCCAGTCGGAGATGTAGATCGTGTTATCATTAGGAGAGACTGCAATGTCCCAAGGCTTCTCTGGGGTCTTCCGAGGCTTGGTTGGGAAGGAGAACAAGCAGTCACCGTTGAGACGGAACTTGTGGAACATCTTGCGTTCCTGATCGAGGACATAAAGTTTGTTGGTATTGTCCATGGCAAGAGCCACTGGCTTGGCAAAATTGAACTCGGGAGCTCCAATGGTGTGTATGACCTCTCCTCCGTCCAGTATCATAACACACTTGTTACTTGTGTCTGTCACCACAAGATTACCAAATATCTGCGTACATAAGATGCCAGACACGTGTGCGTTGGCCTTGCAAAGGTCGATTACTCTGTCTGGCTGTAAGAAATAAGGCTTGTTCCTTCTTGGTGTAGCCAATCCAGGCACGGTTGAACTCCTCCATGGTGGTAGAGTGTCGTAATGATTATCCTCTGAAGATATTGTTTTTGCTCGCCTTTTAATAACAGTAGCACCTTTCTTTGAGTGTAAACTTTCTTCCAGTCGACCTCCACAGACTGCATGTGGCGGTGCTGGTGCAAGAGTTTTGGTTTCCTCGATTTTCGGGACCTCTTCCATGGCTAGGTCCTGCTGAATGTTCTTCATGTCATCCATCTGAACGAAACTGCAGATGTTGGCTACCCCTCCGGTCTCAGGGTTTCTTCGGCAGAGGACTAACTGGCCGAGTGTTGCAGGAACGAGCAGCTGTGTCTCTTTGAACATGACAAACGTGTCGGCGTATGTCTGGTGAAGCGGCGACCTGTGCATCGCACTGCAGAGGCCATCGTCAATCGTCTCGGACTTGACGCTCTCTTTCGCAGTCAGAAGTTCTGCGCTAGCTTCCTGCCTTTGCGTCTCGATTCTGGTCTGGGCATTTCTGATCGTGAGCTTCTCCCTCTTTACTTTTGCGTAATGGTCAACCATCTCTAAAAGTGCCCCGTTCTCGGCTTTGCAGCTCAGAGACCAACCTCCCGAAAAACTCTCGGACCTTACTCTTGACCGCTTCTGTGTCTTGCGCCATCTTAGTGCATGTCTGCTTTGCGGAAAAAGTGGGCGTTGTTCCCCGAACAATTCTCCCCCCCCCCCCGGCCCCGGCTCCTCCCGCGGCCGCGGAGCCTCCTCGCAATTTTCACCGCACGAGAATACTATTCAGCATTGCTAAGCCCCATTGACTGCCTTCACGCATCATAACATTTGCAATTTCACTGACTTTGTACATAGCTATCACAATGTGGGCTCTATGGGTGTTCTAGAGTAATGTCGGCTGTTGGAGCTGGCATTAGATTCTGATAAAGGCCCTCTGGCAGTGAAAATATCTGCACACGCTTGTTCTGTGTGTCGGCAACATAAATCTTCATGTTGGAGTCAATAAAGACGTGGTGAGGTCGACATAGCTGGCCCTCCCCTGTCCCTGTCCCTCCGAAATAGTGCAGGAGCTCTCCGTCGTCGCCAAACACTGAGACACAGTCTGATTCACTTTCTGACACCACAATCTTCCCATCCTTTGCCACCGCAATGCCGTACGGGTCTTGGATGTGACCGTCTCCGATTGTCTTGATCAGCTCGTCTCCCTCGGTGTTGATGCACCACACGCACCTCTCTCCCCGATCGGCGATCATGAGTCGGCCCCCTAAATCAAATGTAATTCCAGCAGGTCGTGAAAACTCCACAAACTCGTCTTTTTTCCCTCTCCTGTAGCAGCCCTTGATCGACCGGATCTTCTTCCCATTCTGGCCATTGTAGACGTAGACTCGTCTCCTGCTCCAGTCAGAGATGTAGATCGTGTTATCATTAGGAGAGACTGCAATGTCCCAAGGCTTCTCTGGGGTCTTCCGAGGCTTGGTTGGGAAGGAGAACAAGCAGTCACCGTTGAGACGGAACTTGTGGAACATCTTGCGTTCCTGATCGAGCACATAAAGGTGATTCCCACTGTCAGTTGCAAGAGCCACTGGCTTGGCGAAAATAAACTCTGGAGCTCCAATGGTGTGTATGATTTCTCTTTCGTCTCCCAGGATCTGTATGCACTTGTTGTTGGCGTCTGTCACCACAATATTTCTGTATCTGTGTGTGCAAATGATGCCAGACACGTGCGCATCGGCATTGCGTAGCTCAATGACGCTCTCTGGCTCCAAAAGCTCGGGCTTGCTCCTTAGACTGTACAGACTCCTACGGAAGGATGTTGGCAGTGTCGAAAGAACCCTTGTACGCTGGTATGGTGTCGTAAGGATCCTCTTCTGTACCACCAAGCGTTTTTGCTCGCCTTTTACCAACCCTCTTTACATCTGCGCCATCCACTTGTGCATATGCATTTTCCTCCTGTGGGTTTTCGCTCTCCTCGAAAGGGGCAGGTGGTAGTGGCATTGAGCATCTTATGTATTGAGGTGGTAGTAGGCCTTCACCAGGCATCGCTGGCAATGCAGGCGCAAGGTCTTCGTAAGTTTCGTCTTCCACCGACTGTGGTTCCTCTCTGTACTTGAACTGTATGTACTGCGGCATACCCCTCGCCTCATCCATAGGACGGGCCAGGTCAAGGTGGATATGTTTCATGTCGTTTGTCTCAACGAATTTTCGGACGGTAGACACAAGCCCTGTTCGTGGGTTTCTCTGGCAGAAGACTAAGTGTCCGAGAGTCGCAATCGGAACCTGTGACTCAGTCTTGAGTTCGATAAATGTGTCGATGTCGTCCGTCCGGGGGAGTCCCCTGCGGATTGTGTTGCGATGGAGCACCATCTTGGCCTTGACACTCTCCTTCCCAGTCAGGAGGTCCACACTGTCTTCCTGCATCTGTTGTTCGATTCGTTTTATATTTTGTACTAGGGAGGTCTGCCCTTTCTGTAGTTGGTTGTGGAGCTTTTGAAGAGACTCCATTTTTACTTCCGCGTAGCAATCGGCCATATTCACGAGAGTCTGTTCCCTGTGGTGCAGCTCTGAGGCCAATGTGCTGAAGTACTCTCGAATTCTGCCTTTGACTGAGTCGGTGTTTTCTGTCACAGCTTCCATGTCGTTTTCAAGCTCCTGCACTGCGTCACAGGCGCTCTGTGCGGCCTCGTATGCAGGCTGAATGGACCCACGAAGCTCCTCCTTGTACTGGGACAAGACAGAGTCATAGTTGTCCCATTCGTGCTGCTTGTCCTTGTGGGCTGGGATGCAGAACCGGCAGAAGAGCTCGTTGCACGATTTGCAGAAAAACACACAATATTCGCTGTCGTGCCCCTCCAATGTGCACTTGGGGACAGCCTGGTTGAATCTGCGGTAGTGGCCCTTACCAAGGTCTTGCACCGTCTTCTCCTTCTCTTGGGAGCTGAGGATCTCCACCAGATTCTTCAGCTTGAAGTTGGTCTTGAGTCCCTCCACCCCATTCCCTGGCAGCTCTGTCTCCTCGCGACAACAGGCACACACTATCATGCTCTTTTCTTCTGTTCCTGAGCCATCTGCGGGATCTGGTAGGTCTGGCGTTTGTCGAGGTGACTTTTGGATTTCCAGGCACTTTTGGCAGAAGGAGTGGTCGCAGTTGAGTTTCTTTGGCTCACAGAGGAGATCTAGACAGATGCTGCAGATGAGCTCGGCCCTGACTTTGTCCAAGTCACTTTTGTCGCCACTGTTTGCCATGACCTATACACTGTTTTCACAGTCGAATGATCTGGGGTTTGGGGGAGTGATGCATAACATTCAGAAGGTATGCAATGGACTAGTGGGAGTTGGTTTTCAATATGGCAAAAATGCTGCGTGTTAGTTTCAAATGTAGCATGGTTTCTTTGGGAGTGGTGCATAAACTATATTCAGAAGGTATGCAATGGGGGCTATTGGGAGTCTGGCTGCGTGTTAGTCTAGCTTTCAAATGTAGCTCTGCAAATACGTTATCTACATACAGTTTGGACCTAGCTAGGTAAATAATGTACAGCTGCCTGTCTTACCGTTAGCCGTAATGATCGCTGTCACGATAGAACGAAGACTTCTATTCTTTGGGCGCTTCTCTTGGCCTCCAAATACACACTACACACAGATAACGTTTCCTCAAGCTGAGCAGCGACAGTCGCGAGGCAGCCACAACCGTAGAGAGAGTGCAGCTAGCTTTAGCTTGCAACATCAACTACGAGCCACACCCTTGGATTGCCACCTTCTGCGCGTGCGCATATAACAACCGTCGTAGCACTCAAAATGCAAGAATCATATTCATGTATCTGTGTAGAGGTGATTTAACACACAGTGCATAGCTGGTGGTACAGATGTGTGGAAAGAGTGTGAGATGATAAATATACATTATACACACCCTTAGTGCAGTACAGCAACAGGACAAAAGACGGCTGGACGAGTGCAAACAATAATATTTGAGAAACCAGGAAAGGAGCCACAGAGACGGAGGCAATGGCACAAGAGGGCAGGTATATACAGTTACATTCCCATGGGCCCTGGTCCACCGGGCATTCCCTGGGATAGGGTGTGGGGAGGTGGCATCCCACCGCCACCTCCCATGTTCGTTAGCTGTCCGTAACTCGGGGGCATCCCCGGCGGCATTACCCCGGTGTTTGGAACCATGTGGGACACCACTGACGGAGGAGGGCCGTACATACCCATCCCGGGCGGAGCCTGTCCCGCCATGCTCTGCTGATGCTGCTGCTGCTGATGCTGCTGTTGCATCCGACGTGCCTGGTGCATCTGGATGAACTGCTTCTGTCGCATGCGAAGTACCTGTCGCCTCTGCTCTTCCAGCATCATCGGGTTGATCCCTCCACCTCCCGGCATTCTTTGAGGCATACCGTAAGATCCACCACTCTCCCAAGAGCCACCGGACACACCACCGTATTGGGTCACCCCACCTCCTGGCATCATGGAGTTGGTGAACATCATCTGAGGCGGAGCCATGGAGTTGGGCATTGGTGCAGTGGTGGAGCTCCAGTGCTGGTGCGCGGTGGTGGCACCCACGCTGCTCATGGCCACTTGGTGATGCTGGGGTGAGTGTTGTGGGAGGGCCGAGGTGGACGGAGGAGGAGGGGCAGAGTGGGCGTGGATGAGGGTGTTGGAGGAGGAGGTCGTGTTGAGGTGCTGCTGCTGCTGTGATTGTGTCTGTTGGGTAGCTCGCTGGGACTGGATCAGGTTGCTGCTGTTAGGTGGCTAATACATGTGTGTGTGTGTGTGGGGGGGATCATATTCATACTAAACACCTTTACTCTCACGAAACGAGAAAGTATTCTGCCAAAAATTCTGTTAGTTGTAAAGTTCTGTTAGTTGTATATAAGCGATCCACAAAAGTATTGACAACTACACCTGTAAACACCCAGGAGGATAAGACACGGAAAAACTACAACTCTCCTCGACATTTCTGTGTTCTTGTACTTATAAGTGTGGAGGGCAATATTTGCGTCTACCAACATGTCGAACAAAGTGTAATGGAGTGGAAATGCAGATGTAAATCATTGGTTTTTACTTGTAATTACTCACGACTCCACGATACAAGGTGCAAACACTGCTCCGCTACATACATACTTAGATCACGTGGTACCAATTTTTTTCGTACTCACTGGTAAGATAGCATGAATGTTGAGATAAGGATCGGCAACGGAGGCCAGGTAGACAAGATTCTTGTGGAGCAACTGCTGGTACCTGAATAATAATGAGAAGCAATAAAGTTTGCACCCTTGGCCCACAGCGCATGCGTGGTACCACTAATTTATGGGCTGTATTATGAGTGTGTGTTTTATACTCGTGGTCTCCTGCTAGTAGCTCGTGGAGAGTCAGACACGGCTAGCAGTAGATCATGCACGAGTCGATACACGCCCAACATTGTGACCTTAAAAGTACACAGATCAGCGGGTTACAGGTCCAGCCAACCCAGCTCCCCAGACGAATACTGAGACTGTGTCTGTTGAATGCTGGGGAGCCTGACCTTTCTAGCATCTAATACATATGCTTTAATGAAATCAAGCTGAGAACTAAACTCATCCTCCTACTACTCACTACTACGGGAAACACATCATAATATCCCGCCAGGTTATTAAAAATGGGGCACAGGCCTAATTAAACACATATGTAAATCCGAGCCATTCCAAACCGGTAGGTTGCAGAGAACCAAGCGTGGAGGAATTCTGCTTGTTATGTTGCCTAGCAAACCCCAGGAGGGGCCACGTGGTACCAACTGTTATAGCCATACATGGAGCTAAGATTGGACAGATAGGCTGTCAGTACTGACCCGAACATCTGTTGCCAGTAAACATGTGTTTCCTGACAACTATTCTGTGTTGGTGGGCAAACAGTGACGGCACAGTGTGTGTCATGTGACAGGTGTGATTTGATTGGTTAATTCAACTCACTGTATGCACTCCATTGCCTTTCCCTTCATGTTCATGTTCTCGACTATAGTCTATAGAGAGAGCGAGTGGGGGAGGGCAACAGGTAGGGTATGAGTAGCTGTGTGTACTGTGTATTGTCACCACTTCCTTAGCTACAATAGAACCACTCACTCCAAACCTATTTGCAGAAGTTCAAAGTGCAGGCATGTTACAAGGCATACTCACTACAAGCCCATGGGAGAACTGAGATATACAAGGCCTCTGATAGTAAATAGCTCACTGTGACGACCGATCCACTAGACACACCTGTATTGGTACCTAGTGTCAGTTACTTTTATTTGCAACTCTAGATGGGATTATGAAGAGTGTAAGTGTAAAGGTATAGGTACGGATGGTTGTCCAAGCTTACCCGTATGAGATGAGCATTCTCATCCAATAGCTGCAAAAAGATAATGATTTTATCCGTGTGTTGGAAATACTTTACACACACATTGAAAAACATGGACATGGTAAGTTTATATACACAGGAACTACCATGCTGCAGCATTCTGATGGGACCAGGAGGAAGTATATATGTTCTATTATGCAAGTATATACAGTGGAATTGTGATTGCTTTGTGTCATTCCATTCCATTGTCTAAGGCCATGTGGCATTCAATAGTAAGCCCGCTGCAGACGGGACTCAGCCCCGCGAATAAACGCCCCCTGCCCCTACTTGAAAGGCTCGCGACGACTCCGCGAGAGTTTCAGCTAATTCGGCGGCACGTCACGACCACACTAACAGATCAAGGGCTCACCTTCTGAATGGTGTGTTGAGTTGCCTCGTTGCGATTGAAGGGAGCCGCGGTCGTCATCGGCGGCTCTCTTCTTGCGGCTTGAACTGGGTATAAGTCTCCAGGCTCTGACACGTAGTTGTGCATAAAAATGAGGCGCCTCTATCCCTTGGGATGGATGAACTGCGAACAAGTGCTTAGGCTTCTTGGCTTCGCGGTGGTCATGCCGGGGAAAATGGCGCGCGATGATATGACGTAAGATGACGTTATTCCCAGGAACGTGTTTGCGAATTTAACCCCTTCCTATCTGAATAAAAATGTTCGTGTGAAGGTGGTTGTCCATGAACGTCCCCATGAAGGCTGTAGCTATTGGGTGGTAAGTTAACACAAAGAGCTCCTCTGCCGTGCTTACTATGACTGTGTGTGTGCAGGGCAGTGGCTATGACGTGTGGTATAAGTGGCATTCTCTTGGCAAAGAGGAGTGTGGACAGACAGAGATTGGAGGTGCTCCGAGAAAAGAACAGATCATCTTATACTAGCAGATAAAGAGAATTTTATACCCTTCACGACCCCCTACCGCAAGCCCATCACTTCATCAGTATCATAATGCACATGACGCAGAAAACACGTTTATTCGGTGTAATAAATAGCAATTGAAAATCATTGTTGCACGAATCAGAAAGTGGTGTGATTTTACAGTGGTAGAGATCTGTTTGCATAGTGTGTTTGTGAGCATGGAATGAAGAGAATGAACGAAAACCGACAAAAAAGATAAATTTATTCCTAGACAGTGGTGGCAAGGGATGATTTTACGCCGGCATCATTTTAGCAGCGACTTGTACAGGACTAGAGATTTCTTTGTCTCTTTGGTCTGTTCCATGTAGAACAACAGGTCCCTGGCAGTGATGCGGCGCTTGGGCTGACGACTTGTCTGTGGAAGACAACACACACTCTGATCTCGGCTACATGATTGATGATGTACCCAGTAAGTAAAAACTTTCACAAAAATTATGGAACAATAAAAGGTGATTGCACTTTTTTCCAATAGCAAAGTGGCCAAAATTGCTCTGATGGGAAGGATCAATCATATGCACCCAAACATTATTATAAACCCTGCTATGGGGCTAGAGTGAGGATTATTGTTTACCTGAGTTCCTAGCAGTGAGGTGTGGCCACTACCGGTATCTTGACCTGTGAGACCACTGCTGACCTGCAGACATACAAACGGAAGGAGCAGCTGCAGTACATAGGCCGACAGATACACATACACATCTTTGCCTAAATCATCCATCCCCTCCACCAGGAGTATAATACTCTAACGGAACACCTTTTAGCGAATTAGCGACGGAAACTTTGGCAGAATATTACAGAGAAAGACTGCTTGTCGTGCTTTTCACCCCAAGACTTTCACAGAAGGTCTTCAAAATGGAAACATTAATTTCTCTCTCTCAAAAGTGTATGGCTCTACAGTATCTAAAGCAACGATGCTCTGGAGCCCGACGCAAACACTTACTACACTAGATGTGCCACACTTTCTGCACTAGATGGAATCGGAATCCCAGTATTATATTCACATTGCGTGTGTGTGCGTGTGCGTGCGTGTGTGCGTGTGTGTGTGTGCGTGCGTGCATGTGCGTGCGTGTGTGAGAGAGAGAGAGAGAGAGAGAGAGAGAGGAGGGGAACTAACCCCTTCAGCAGGTGAAGGTCTCTTTCTCTTGGTCCCACTGCCAAAGGCACTCAGAGCAGCCAGAGCTGCCTCGTTGGCTTTCTTGTCCCTGATCTTCTGGGCCTCCTCTTGTTGGAGCTGCAAATCACCACCAACACCAGAACACCAGGATAATGGTTTATACAGATATACAATTTCAAAAAAGTATATACTGCATCAAGAAGACATGGCATGAAAATCAAGCAAACAAGCCAATATGCTAATAAGCACTGGCATGCCCCAACCAGAGTCTGTCTGTTTTGGTCACCGTGAAGGCATAAAATTTGGCTAGCATTCTAGCAATACTTGTAGTTGATTTGTTGTTGTGCGTTTGCCTTTCCACCTCGTAGTTTTCACATGCACAAATTTGCAGTACCACATGTGCATTGCTTCAAGGGTTAAGCCACTTGGTGCATGCGGAGACACGAGGGTGCAGCGTCATATATACCAGTCACATGAACCAAAAATTGGGACGTCAAGGCAACTGAAAATCAACAACAGTTAATAAACAGTCGGATTTTCCACTGTAAAAACAGCTATATGTCTACTAAAGACCTCTCTTGAGATCTGACTGACGTAAGATACTTTTGTAGTGCAAGGTGTGTATACATCATTGAGGTGTATCTACATATGAGTGAGTAAATGATTTTTTTTTTATCATGCATGCCTTTTGCGTCTTCTGCTCTACAGAGCTTGGCCAAGCATGTCAGTGAGAAAGTTATTCAGGCCCTTTAAACTCTTTGGACGCCATTCGTATCTCCTTAAATAAGCAGAAAATTGTGTATAATCCCATGTACATGTACAGTATACCTTCTTTGCCTGCTCCTTGATCTTGGCAGCGGCCTCGGGGTCTTCTGGTCTGGACCGGCTCTTGGCAGCCTTGAGAATCTGGTCCTTCTCCTTCTCCATCTTCCGTCTGTGACTCAGCCGGTCGATCGACTCTAGGACCTTCAGCTGACCTCTGACCTCCGACGACACCTCGTACATTCCCTCGTCCTGCCAGAGGAAACACCTTAAAACTCATCCAAGCAAAATCCACTAGGCACAAAACACCATACATAGAAATCCCTTCTCGTTTCGAACTCAAGGGGTGATATCTGGAAAGCGGATGGTAAAACAGCTTCTTCCTAAGAGCAACTCTGCTAACCTTAAGTAATCCCATGGTTGAGATGTATCTACACAATTATGAATGCCTTTTGCGTCTTCTGTTCTACAGAGCTTGGCGCAGCAATTAGCTGAGAAACTCATTCAGGGCTCGTGACACTTTGGACACCATGAGTGTCTCCTTGAACAAGCAGAAAATCTAACCTCACATAAATACTTACGGTCTTTTAGAGGTTATAGACAGATTTACGTGTCCTTGGCTCATAAGTGCTAAACTTGTAATAAATAATTGCATGATCTCTCACAAGTTATAGTGGTTCAGTGTGAGCACATATTATGCAAGGTTAGTGAACAATACTAACCTTGAGGGACTCTGTTCTGTGTTGGCTGACGACTGTTACTTTTTCTAGCACATCTTTTAACCTCTCCTGCTTGGCACACACACACACACACAGAGAGAGAGAGAGAGAGAGAGAGAGGGGCGAAAGATAATATAAACGGAGGTGCGAGCAATGGCAAACGCAGACAAACCTGGATTCCGTGAGATAGCAACACTAGATAATCGTCTGTAATGTCATAAATGCCACATCGACGAGCTGCATACCACAGACACATTCATAAGTCCAAACATTATACACGTAGTGTTAAAGCTTATTACTTATGTATGTATATATTATGCATACTACAGTATGTACATGTACCTATTGGCAATACTCTGCGTTTTAGAGCTTGCACGTCGAAGAAAGCTTCGTCTCGGACAGTTCTCATGGTTTCTCCCAGACTGGAGGGCAGCATGCTTTCAGCCTGCAATCAGACAGGGATAATCTCAAACTCGTAACGGCAAATGAGAGACTGTGCTCGAAAGTGCATTCAAACTTCTTCAACTTGGCATCATTTGTCCCCCCCACAACAAATGTACATTCATATCCCCACCATTCCCAGGCGATACCTGAATGAATGTCAACGGTATCCAGCCACTACAAAAATACTACCCAGGCTACGCCTCACATTTTCGAGGTTGGAAATTGGCTAAGTTAAAAAAAGTTTGCATATACTTCCAGACTATGAACTACTTCACCTGAAGATTAACGGTCTTTACGCCAGAGAAGTCCATTTCATCGTCCTCTTCTTCCTCACTGCACACGTGGAAAACACAAATTCATCATTGACTTCACAGACATTTTAACAAACCAAGCGAAAGCTATGCTAAAGTGACACACACAGCACGACACTTACTCGTCTGCAACGTTCTTTTCCACCTTTACTCTCCCCTTCCCCTTCCCTGCAGCAAACGATGGAGGAGACGACAGTTTCGCTGCACCCGGTGCAAGCTTTACGTCAACGAAACCAGATCTTATCCCTCCGCCTTTGGAGGGCGAGCCCACCACCACTTTCCCCGCTGCCAGATGGTTTGCAGATACAGACGACGCGACAGGGAATCGAGACGAAATCTGCTTTACTGCCACGCCCCCCACAGACACCTGGTGTTGTTTTTCGAGGATTTTAACGCTAGCCTTAGCTGTAGCTGTTACTTTGGCAGTACTCGGTGCCGACGTAGTGTGGGAGTTGAGTGGAGAAACAGACAGGCGGGCACTGCTAACTACCTGGGCCTGCTGCTGTGGAGATGAAACTGCTCCGACCATAACCCTCTGCTGGGAGCTCTGCATAGCTGGGAGGTCTGTGATAGCTGGTTCTGAGGCTGTCTCTGTGACTGTGCGGCCGTGGTGAGTTGCTGCATGTAGAAGGCCCTCTGCTGCTGGGGGGTGAGTTTGGCCAGGTGTTCCCGGAGCTGTGCAGTGAGAGACGTGGTAGATATGGGCAGAGGGACAGACGCCGTGGAGGAGGACGAAGAGGTGGCGGAGGGGGCGGTTGAGGGTGACACACTAACAGAGGTGCTGTTCGTTTTCTGGTGCTGATTAAGGGGCTGCTGCTGATTAAGGGGCTGCTGCTGCTGCTCTCCGGGGCTCCCCGATAGAGAAGCAGGACCGGCAATGTTGACGGAGGCTGTCTTTCCCAGGCTGACCCCCGTGTGAACAGAGTTACTGGTGTCAGTTGTCTCGGGGACCGCTCCAGGCCTGGCCAGCTTCTGCTCTGTGAGTTTCTGCTGCAGCTTCTCCTGCGCCTGTCGCTGGAGGAGCTCCTTCATAATGGCCTGTTGGAGTTGCAGTCTCGTCCGCAGGTGAGGAACACTGTTCTGTTGGTGCAAGATGCATGCAGGAGGAAGATACGTAATCCCATTTGTTCCTCAGGTAATTCTCATGCAGCAATATAACTGAACACTACACAGTTGAAGTTCATAACATAGCCTTTTAACCTTTTCGACAGAACGTGTACACTCAAACAGTACTTGTCTGTTCTGGGCCAACACACTAACATGTGTAAGCTATCATATTATATGGTGGGGGGAGAAAGCAGCTATCTGTGACATTTCTTTTTGCAAAGTATTTTGTTTCCCATGGAAAATTCAACCACCAGCAAGCTGGAGTTTCAGTTCTTGAGCCATACTACACTGCTACTGTATGTATGTGTACATACCTGGAGAAATGGAAGCAGGCTGGGTTGATGCTGCGAGTGCAAGTCCTTCTCAATCCTCATTGCAAACTCTTGCTCCGAAATTGATCCAGTCTGGACACAGAAACAGAAACATGTAGAGCAAGAGAGGGGGAATATCCATGGAAGTGGGTTCGTGTATGGTTCAATAGTGAGGGGAGGTGCACACCACAGTATAAACTGAGTGGTGCAAGGGACTTTCTTCTTTGACAGGGCACACACTCAATATTGTGAGCCCAGGAACAGAGGGCCTCGAGTGGCCTTCTTTTGAGTGGGAGCTGTTTCAGTACAGCCCCACGCACACAGGGTCTGAACAGGCATCATTTAGAGCACATGTATGGTGTACACATGGCCACAAGACAGCTCTCATGTTCCCTTCACTCTCTCCTAATATCAAAATCTCTCTGTTTCGCTCGTAGTTCTCATATGTACACACCCAGTGAAAGGCACACAGAGGTAGGTGAGCCCTGCGACTGTGGCTAATCCAGACTCACCACTAGCTGTTGAACGAGCATCTGCACAGTAGACTTGAGCTGCTGTCCTGAGTTTCCAGCCAGTGCTATAAGGTTCGTCAGAAACTCCTGGAGCTTGGCTTGAACGGCGAGCATGTCTCTAGCATTAGGTCCGCCCTTCTTTGCCAGCGCCGACAGAGCTATGATATTGGCCTTCTTGTAGGCAGCCGACTGCTCTTCGGCAGTGAGGTTCAACTGGGTACCCAGAGCTGTAAGAGGGGAGCCAAACGTCCCCAGAGTGTTGCTGATGGAAGTCACGTTGACTGGCAGAACTGAGGACGAGGAGGAGCTTGAGGCGTCGCCGGACCCCGCCAGGGAGCCAGCAGAGCCGGACAGAGGAGTCGGGAGGGACTGAGAGGCGGGGAGCATAGATACTCCGTCGGTGGGCGGGGGTTGTGACACGGTGGACATAGCGGGAGAAGCTTCTCCCTCGGTTTTGACGGGTCTCGTAAGGTCTAGTGGCGTTAGGGAGGAAGACAGGCCGCGGTTCTGGGCCACTGGGGCGAGAGATTTCGAGGAGGAGCTCAAGCCCGTTACTGTCTCCCCGTTACCCGTCCCCACTGGATGAGACACCGTCTTTCCTACTTGGTCGCTCACAACACTCTGCACTACATTGTCGGTGACTACTTGCGGGTTCGTTAGAGCTTCAAGATCGATTAGTTCGGCCGTCTTGAAACTACCCTGGCTCATATCGCGGACTGGCGACCTCGATCAAGCCAGATCCCTCCCGCCTCCCAGGGAGTGACTCGCCATTTTGTTCAACTGCCTTTTATAACGGCAGTGTTTGAAAATATTCCGCGCAATCGCGTAATCTTTCCGCATACTTCGTCACTTCCGGTCGGTTGACGACCTCTATAAAACGTCTGCTGAATCCCACAACCTCAGAATGTGCTGCCATGGCCGAAGCACCAGATGCCGAGCCGTATGAGTACGATCCTGTGAGTTAGACGTCTACAGTGTGAGTGTGCTGCTCAGCTTCATACGAGGCATGCAATTCTAAATAACGCCCACCAACAATCTGTGCATAACGGTCTTGCATCCATTTTCAGTATGCAGATAATCCCGAACTCCGGGAGTGTGTGAATGCACTATCGGCTAGAGATGCAATCCTTGAGCCAGGGATTGCCAAAACCTTTGAACAGTAAGCAGCATTTTGATATCTGCCTATGTAGTCTGGAATATTTTATTGTGTGCCTAAAAAGTTTGCTGGCTGTTGCAGGTTCCTAGATCTTGGTGGCAAGGAGAAGGAAGGAGCGCACATACTTGCTGAGAGCTATGTGGGCCTTCCCCACGTACTCAATGTTATGATTGAGTGGCTCCATGTTGCTGGTTTGTGAAATACATCATACATTATACATTACACAAGTTTGTTTGTCTGTTATATACTGGAATTTTGGTCCCAGAAAAATGGTCCCCCTGCACTAACACTAAATGATCGTAAATTTTTGTCCGAGCTTGAACTTTTTGGTTCAATGCGAAGCTCGGCATTGCTCCATAGCATTACCAGTCGCATGGTGTAACCATACGCATAAGGTATGTACATAAGTTTGTGGGGTAAGGTAAAGATACTTGGTGAAGTTTGGTCAAATTTTCAAGCTACAGTTCAGTTCTTAGACAACGTAACATGAGAAGGGGGCAGTGCTAGGGGTTAGACTAGACAATGAGAGACATAGGAAAACGAAAAACATGTACTCTCGTGAGGTAAACTGTGATTGTAATGACTTAAACTTCACTGTCGAAAAAATGCCACCTAGGTGACAAACACTTGTTCATAACAGTGTAACTGTGGTCTTGTCGTACTGTCACACAGACACTCGTCGTCAATGTCACTAACTTGTAGCCACTGTGCCACAGCCCTGACCTGCCTTCTATCGCAAGCGTATATTATCATTGACTATACTAAAACGCATTTTTGGCAAGCGAAGCGTTTTACGCGTAAGTAGAATCACGTAGAACATTACAGTATGTGGCAGTGCCCGTCACATATACAAACAAATATAGAGAAAATCCCCGCATTCAGACGACTAGGTAGGCTCGATTCGCTCGCTAAATATAGCTTCCATGATACTTTGAGCTGAACCCTTGTCATTTAAGACTGACAGTACGCTACATCAGTATGCCACTTGGCTCCCAGTATTATACTACAGCACTTAATTGCCGAGCGCGTATATACGTACGTTCGTGTCGTCACACTTAAGAATGTCAATTAGTCACGCTTAGGAATGTAAACTTCCGTCATTCAGCTTCCGCCGTGCGCACAGATTCGTAGGAAGTCTGGCTTCGCGCGCAGTCAGTAGAGCGTGCGCACGAGCGGCCTCAGTCGGACTGTTTACGCAGGCGCGAGGCAATATGCGCGTGCGCATTCCTAGTAACCATATATATTTGGTATCGATAGTAGTTTCCCATGTTGCCCACTGTGTTTTTACCCCCACATATTGTATTGTGTACTGCACTACATAATATGCATATCAGGGTACAGGAAGAGGGAGATTCAAGCTATGGTAGAGGACCACCTGAAACACCTCATCACACAGCATTTTGACCCCAAAAAGGCTGACCTCATCTTCACAGAAGAGGGATCGGTAAGAGTAACTGTGGAAAATGGGGTGGCAACTATCAACTACAGCTAAAGAAGCAATTTAACGGTGTGATTGTTGATAATGGGGTGGTTTAAACTTTCGTACTTTTATCGAGTATGCGAAGGGAAAAGTAGGCTAAGCAACTATCCTGAATACCTAGACGATAGCTAAAGAATGAAGTTCAATAGATCCTTGGGAGTAAATGTGAAATGGGGTGGCCTAAATTTGTCGTATTTTTAGCAAGAACCTGAAGGGAAAGACCAAGTTAACCAACTATCCTGATTACCTTGAGGTGTTTTAACAAGTACATGTATGTTAAAGGCACACTATTGGTTGCCCTGTCTCTTTGCACCACATAATTCGTTACATTTTAGTCACCCTATTTCCAACTGTCGCTGCTGAGCATCATTTTGTGGGTTGCACTGCACTCTCCAGCTATAGTCAATGTAATCAGGATGGTTGGTTGACTTACCTTTTCTTTCACATCTTCAATAAAAATACGAAGAATTTAGGCCAACATACACTCCCAAGTGCTTCTTATATGGATTGAACCGCTATAGTTACACTCCCTTGTCAGCTAGCTTTCCCACTATACATTGTATTGGAGAAACTGTGTAGTATGATATGACAATATCTATCCCCTTTATTGAGGTTCCTTCGTGGCTGGAAGAGATGATACAGTTCCCGACGTGGAGAGAGCTGTTCTACCAACTGGCGGAGCAGTACCCTGACTGCCTCATGCTCAAGTTCACCATCAAACTCGTGTCCGATGCCGGGTTCCAGAGCGAGATAACCAGTGCCTCCACAGCCCAGCACCAACCTGAAGTGTTCTCCAGTCTGGTCAAGAGTGCCCTGCTCCAAATTACCACCGGCCGAGTCACCGATGCCCACGAACACCTCCAGGATTTCAAAGTGATTCTTAATCCCACTTATGTGCTACTTTTATAGAACCAATAGCTCGCCTTTAACATGCTTGCTAAAAGTGTACAACATTCAAGTCATTACTTCTAGTACGATTTCATGGGTTCCACTGCACTCTTTAGCTATAATCAGGATGTTTGGTGGTTGACTTGTCTTTCCCTTCACATACTTAATTAAAGTACGGAAAATTTTGGCCAATGATTTCCGCTCTCTTCCTCCCTCGATTGAATGCTATGATTGGCAACGCAAATGGGGCTGTTTGAAGTTTTCGGCGCTGTAACGTATTCGCTGAGGTTTGCACTCACGTTTGCTCACCAGAATCGCTTTGCATTCATTCGAGTATACTCTACATTTGAACTACTTCCTATTGTATCATATCTTCACACACTCCCTAGCCTTGAAACCCAGGCCTTCCCTTCTTACGCACGGCAATTCTTTGCCATAAAATACACACTCAAATGGGGTTCCAAAGCAACACATGTCCTATCTCCCTCCTCTCCCAGACTCTGGTGTGCCACAGCCAGCACACCTACTTCTACTCTCACTCGGTGCTCCAGAGTCTGTCGGGCACCTCTCAACTCACCCACTTCCGTCGCTGGCTGGGGCAGGAGATACACAGGGAGGCACTGCTCAGGTCTGCACACATTCTACGAGAAGTTTATAGGCTGCTTTCTCCTTTGGAGTAAAAAATGTGCTCTGCTTGTAGCACATAGTTACGTTTAAGTTCCAGCATTTTCACTGTGTTTTATCACTTGCCTTCTATTTGAACTTTGGCCATGTGACTTATACTATGGATGCACAAAAAGTGTGCGTTGTAAACCTGTCTGTAAAAACCTATAATTATACATGCGTGTGTTTTGTCAGCTGTACAGCAATGAATAACCTATGAAGAAACTTCCTTTCTGTGAGCGTGTGTGCCATAAGCAAAATTTCACAAACGAGACTTTTTACTTGGGGATGTATGGTTGCTATTTGCCTTGCCTTGAACTCCGCCCCCTCCCCATGTATACAGAAAGCACGAGGTGACGAACATGGGTCTCCACCTGACCTCGGTGGGCAGCCACTCTCGACTGTTTGAGTCCCTCAGCTCCATGCTCTCCCGATCAGCTCTCAACCCTGCCGACATCTCCATTGTGAGGCTATATTGTATAGCACCTCTTACAAGTATACACTGTGTTGATATAGGGATGACACATTTTATATCACATACATACTGGAGTGAAACCTGTCTATGGTGACACCTATGATTTAAAAAAAATCTCTCAAAACGACCACTTATCTGTGTCCTAGTATTGCTTGTACCAGTTTGATCTCCGAAGAGAGACCACCTCCCTCCTCCCTGTGATCGTTATGGACAGGATTTCCTCTATGTCTATAGATGGAGTGTTTTTGTTGTCATTTTTGCAGTTGTACAAGCACTACACAGAGGATGACCCACCACCCCCAGTCCAGTTCCTCCAGACACCACACTTACTGGGTTTGTACGGCGAATATTTTTGGTTTGTGAAATTTTCGTGTCGGCCAACAAAAATTTTGTGGTATTATACAGGCACACATCTTATGTTCATTGATTTTTCGTGTATCAGGGCAAAATTTGAATGAACCCACTGTTCAAACCGTATCTATTGTGACAGTATTAGCTACTGTTGTGCCTGTTCAGAGCTCCTGGTCCAGGCGTTCTTCAAGCCAGGGTCGGCCATCAACAAAGACCACAAGGAGAAGTACCTCCACATCCTGGCCTATGCCTCCAGCGTGTACGACAATGAAGATGGAGAGAGGTTAACCACACGGTTATATATAGCTGTAAACAGAGTTGTTACAAACTAAACTTGGCCACAATATACTTTCTTGAACTACTGCTAAGTACTTATGGGTATATTGTACAAAGTTGAACGGTACCTACTGTAGACCTAGGTTGTACATGAAGTGGTGGGATTTGTATCATCAAGTGAAGTGTTTAGGTGTGTGGATGAGTTGGAGGACACAAAGAAGGCTCTGGAGACGGCCCACATGATTTGCAGCAAGGCCACCGTGTCCCACACGGAGCTGCAAGTGGAGGTCCCCACTCTATTCCAGTGTATCAAGTGAGTAGTAATAGTGGCAGTCTTGATCCTAGGCCAACCGCATCCAGAAGATTGCGTGGAAGTGAGGTGATTGAGGGGGGGGGTTGTATGTAGCAGATTAGTGCAGTGTTCACAATACATCGCGCAATGCCCTAACGCAACGTGATAAGGATTCTATCCTCACGATGCAGCACATAGCATATCATGCTCATTGCGTCACTAGCCTTGTGTTCTGGTTTTCCATGCCATAACACACAGCATGCAATCATGCTCATTGGTGTCCCATGCCGTAACCTGTTGTACTCATCATTGCTCAAAGGTATCCAATAGTATCACTGGGAGTCCTGCGGTGGGTGGAGCACACACTCTCTGATCTCACCTTCTTTGAAGAAGCTGCAGAGTCCTCTCCTCTTTTCCTTGTTCTACTGGACGAGGTATCACAAAACTCATGACAAAAACACTTTTGTAGAAGAAAATCTGACAATGCAGCATGCCATACCTAAAACTTACGACAAAAACACTCTCGTCAAAAATAACACCAATACACTCGGCTGACAAATGTAGCATGCAAAACCTTTCACGAACATTTTTGTCATGTTATACCTTTATTGGCAGCATAATAGCATTAGTATAATGAATACCAGTAAGCAATTTCGCAGACCTAATCTCCGCTATTGTTGGAGAATGGATCACTAATGATATTAGTCAGGGTTAAGGTGGTGTGTGTGTCATGGACTACAGATTGCAGCGTATCATAAGCTGCAGCATCCCTTCATTCTGGACCTCCTGAAGCGACTGATTGAAGGGTCTTACCCAATGCTGGAGGTCCATGTTCAGATGGAGCTGAAAAGGCATCTGGTCGGCCACCTGGTCCAGCTACTGAGCTGTGGACATGTGCTAGAGGTATAGTTTTGCGAATCCCGTAGTCCATAGACCATATCCTTTGAACCACTTGCTCTACATAGATGTTTATGCATGTTTCAAATGTGAAGTAAAGTACTTGGTAGGCTCAATGGGTATACATTACAAGCGATTAGCCTCGTGCCCTAATAGGCTTACATAAGAAGAAAGTATGATAGTGACCTGGCTATCATTACCCTATATATGTGCTACCAGAAGCGGGGGCATTGCTATCAACATGGGAGCCTGAATGCTGTTGAAGCTGTAGTGAGGGTACAACAGCAGCGACAGCAATCACTGTTCTTCTAGGCTCCTCCTCATATTGTGTGTGGGAGCCTGAGTGTGAAACTTTAGTGAGGTTACCAGCCTGTGAGCAACTGAGCATGCGTGTCTCCAGGTGGTGAACTACATGCACAGGTGTATGAAGACTGAAAACCTGGACCATTCACTTATAAGACACTTTATATCTGAGGTAAATCAATACTGTAGCCCTGGACGTTCTCCTGTCTTGTTGAGGATCGTGAGTTGTTGCAGGTTCTGAGTATTATCCAACCTCCGTACTCGGCTGAGTTTGGTTCCGTGTTCCTACCTCTGGTTCAGAACCAGGACATTGCAGGACCACTGATGAATGCAGAGGCCACTGATCTGGTGTCTCAGTTCATAGGTATACACCCCACTACACATAACAGGAGTGGGACCTGGTTTAATAGTACATGTATATATACAGCAGGAGTTAGTAGTAATGTGGGGAGGGGGCAAGGGGGGCCTCAATGGCCCTATATACGTGTAGTTCAAATTGATACAAGTACTGTCTGGTTTTTAACTTTGTAGTTCTCACCATTTTGCCCCATGAATACTGTAATTTATGTTTAGGCTACTGTCATTTACTCGGCTGTTAATTCAGAGTGGGATATGATTAGCTATTGCCATCTTTGTTCATATTACAGCTGAGTGTCCACGGAAGGTAAGACGGAAGAAGAAAAGCAAACCAGGATAGAAATTTACACACTCTGTTCATTGCAATCATCTTGAGCATCTTTTTCACACAATCTGATCACCTTTTCACTCTTTCTGACCACATTGGTCAATTTGTAAGGTGCCTTTGTAATCTCCCAATGGTGCCCGGAAATGTGATTTACAAGAACCTTTGCACAGAATGCTGTTTTCCAGAGAACGATAAATGCTCTAATTTTACACAAATTACGTGATGCTCAGCAATTTTAATACTGCACTGCCCTTAACCCTATTTGTGTTTTGCGTGCAACTAACCCAAACAAAATATCATCAATCAAGGGAACGTGGCAGTATGTAAGGGCTAAATATAGAAACTGTTACTGAAACCTATTATTGCTAAATTTAGCCCTTACATACTGCCACATTGCGTACTATATTATAACGTCCCCTCTGAAGGAAACATGGGTTGATTTTGCATTTCTTCGAAGCACACGAGTGGAAGAAAACACAAACCAACCTTCTTTATTAGTTCAACTACAGTTGCAGAGCGGAATTGTAACACTCACTTTGGCACTGCCCTTGCAATGTCATACTGCAAGCGCCCCTGGAGAACATGGGTTGATTTTGCATTTCTTCGAAGCACACGAGTGGAAGAAAACACAAACCAACCATCTTTATTAGTTCAACTACAGTTGCAGAGCGGAATAGTAACACTCACGTTGGCGCTACCCTTGCAATGTCATACTGCAAGTTGCTAAATCCAGGGCCAGGGAAACATTGGTTGATTTTGCATTTCTTCCACGCACGTGAGTGGATGAAAACACAAACCAACCACCTTTATTAGTTCAACTGCAGTTGCAGAATGGAATAGTAATATTCACTTTGGTGTCACCTTTGCAATACCATACTAGCCAAAGTTGCTAAATGCCAACCCCCCAGGGCCAGGGAAACATGGGTTGATTTGCATTTCTTCCACGCACGTGAGTGGATGAAAACACAAACCAACCATCTTTATTAGTTCAACTACAGTTGCAGAATGGAGTAGTTACATTCCCTTTGGCTTTACCCTTGCAATGCCATTTGCCAAACCCCAGCCCCCGGGGAAACATTGGTTGATTTTGCATTTCTTCCAAGCACGTGAGTGGAAGAAAACGCAAAGCAACCACCTTGATTTTAGATGGTCCCAATAATAGCACACCTAATTTGCAGGTGAAAGTGTCCCATGTAGGACTATGTTCCCCTGATGCACTCTGGGACCAGCCCTGCTGAGTGTAAGTACATACCATGACACTAAATGATGCAAGCAAGCTGACCGTGCCAGTACTTCAGTACAGTAACTTAGAACTTAGTAACTGTACATACATAATATGCAGCGTGCAGCACAGTATGTGTATGCATAAGTGAGTGTGTTGTCAGATGGAGGTTAGGAAGGTGTTCCCTTGAGGTAGAAGACCCAGGATGTGGGTGGAGGTCCTCGAGACGCTGCAGCACTGCGGGCCGAGTGCAGACTGGTCACCACCAGTTTACCAGTCTTAGTCTGGTGTGGGTCTGCTTGCTTGGCATCGTAGGTCACCTGTGGAGGCCAGAGTCATTAGACTGTTGGGTCAACAGACAATTACAATGTGCATGACTTTCGTGAGTCACCCGGTGGTTGTGTGAGTTACACAATAAGTTAATGTTGCCGTGGATACTTTCTCAATTAAAGTAACTTTCAGCATTCTATTCCGTTTTGTACATACCCCTGCAATTTGTATTTCATTTCTGTAAGTCTACTACACAATAGCAATTTAGAGATACACCTTCTGCATACATGTGTGTGGTACTTGCCTGCATGTTGCAAGTCTTTCTGGCTTTGATAGTGTCGGCTGCCTTCACTGAGAATACGGGGGAGTTGACAGAGTAAGAGAACTGCATCGTCTGTGGGAACACGTTCTTGAACGGAATTGCAATGGTTTGACCGGCTTTCACGGTGTGTGGACCCTCGGGACGAGGTGGCAGACAGTGGCCAAAGAGAGGGATGGTATAGTCTCCTCCCTGGCTCGACGAGAGAAAGAGGGTGGCCTGGGAATCCCCGAGATGAGAGGGCTCAAAGTTGACCTCGAAAATAACCTCGGCCCCGCTAGCCATGATGGATTTCTCCACGTGGAAGTTGGTAGACTCGGTGTTGTCTCCATTTGCAATCCTGCAGCTGTACTCTACTCTGGTGCCCTTGGCGTAGTTGGGCACCTTGCACTGCTGCTGTTTGCTCTTTCCGAGGTGACAGGTGAAGTGGACGGGTGGTTCGGGGGTCGGCGGTGTAGCGGTGAGGTGTAGCTCGTACTGGTAGGCACCTAGTTCAGAACTGGTGAAGATGAGTTTACCCACCGTCTCCCCGGCACGAAGTGGGAGGTATTCAAATGTACGTGACAACTACAGAGTGTGAAAAACAATAAGACGCTTTACAGCGTAAAGAAAATGTTCTTTGCCCATATGGCTTATATTATTGTTTCTGGTATAAGCGTACCTTACTGTCAGGTCCCACCACAAAGTTGGGAGGTAGACTTATCTCGTGGACGGAAGTGGATGCAGAAAATGTCACGTTGGAGTTTAGGGGATTGGTGATGACAATGTCGTGGGAGACACTCCGCCTCACTTGAGTGGAGAGTTCGATGGTGTCGATTATGCCCGAGGATGTGGATTTGAAGGTCACATTGTAGAACATGTACTCCCCAGTCTGCTCTATCATGAATGTGACCTGGAGGGAGGGTCAGATCTTTAGTGGGATCAATGTGTCTAATGGGTATATAGGAGGGTTCATTACGGGACACATGCATAATATAGGTATTCCTGGATAGCCTTCTGTATTCGACTTTCTTTTTTCCTGTGTGACATTCAGTATGCACCAGAGCCTGCAATTAACTGGTACAATGTTAGAGGATGATGCTTTGGGGCACTCAGATATGGGTTCATTATGGGACACATGGGATAGCCTTCTGTATTCGACTTTCTTGCTTTTTTCCTGCGTGACATTCACTATGCTGGTTAGTTCGTAATTACCAAAGAGGTGTGTAGGTTTTTACTACCTTTGCTATGATGGTGCATTCCTTGAAAGAGTAGAAGTGTAGTTTGTAGTCTTTCTTCCCGAGGGCTGGGACATCAATGTAGTCCATTCCATGGAGACTCACTGACTGGTCCAACTTTTCTGGACGCACCAGTTCTCGTATGACCCGAAACCTAAACAACACACAATGTTTTTCTGCCTCTGTTATTTAGCTGCAATGTCCTTATGAATTTTACACCTGAATCATACCTCTGTGGCCTTCTAATCCAATTCTTGACTTTCAGTAGCTCGGTGTGAGGCGTCTTGCAGGGAATCTCTCGAAATGTAGACGCAGTGGCATCTGGAGGCTCTGCCGTGCCTTGGAGGTTGTAGAGGAGTCCGTTTCCATTGGGGAATGGAAAGAAGACCGTGCCGTGGTGCTTGGCAGTGTCAGACGTCATTGCGAGTGGGTGGTAGGTCAGCTCATAGTGGCCGGAGGAGTTGGGGTTGATGGTGAGGGAGTCAGGGCCAGTCCACTGCTGGCCACCGATGACCGGACTCAGTCTCCAGACTGCGTTTGAGTCGTTGCGGATCTGCGGCAGTTGCTTGGACTTCTTGGTTCTCACAATCGTGGTAAACTGCTGGATCTACAGCAGGAACATTTGAGTGGTTAAGAATCAGCTAGTTTACATCCTTCCCTGAGCTTATTATGGGCTACAGTTATTATAAGGAGATTCAGTGTACTGTGAGGAGCACGCTGTACATATTTTGTGCAAAACCTATGATTGACCTCTTTCTCGGGTTTTTGCTCAGTGCAGATCCCACTGAGAGTAAGCAAAAGAGGAGAGCTGCCCTCAATCTGGCAAGGCAGTCTCTCATAGCGAATGTCCCTCTTAACCTTCCGGGGGTGGAAGGTGATCTCCAGTGGAACCTAAGAAAAAGTGTGAACTTTACATGTGAAAACTAGCATGTATATACCTCCATTCCTGGAGAGAGATAGCCTTCAGTGGGTGAAATTGAGAAGTCTGGAGCAAACTTATCGGCCTCCCACTTGAAGCTGGAAATCAAGAGTAAAAACGACAGTGTTTCATTTTTCACGTGTGTGCTACACGCCAACCTGGCCCCAATGTCCCCACTGTTGATGATGAGAATGTGGCGAGAAGTCTGACTCCCGTGGCAGACGGTGCCAAATGGGATGTGATCCATGTCTAGCTGGATCTCCTGTCCGAGACACGACCCAGTCACCATGAACAGAGGCTGAGACATCCCAGAACTCTCCATTATGACCTACAAACAAACGTTAGGAGCATTGGTAGTTACTTCTCCTGCTAAAAGTTGCGTACTCACCTCTTCCTGGAAGTGTGCAATGCGAGTTTTCGGAGCAAACGTCACCATAACTTTCCCTGTTCCATTCTTGGCCTTTAGTGTTATCTCGCTCTTGGGCTGGAGTGTTTTTCCATCCACTACATCTGCACACAGTACGGTGCTGTCCTCCTGTAGCTGGTGTGAGCTTGTGACGAGGGACACCGAGAGGGCGAGGGGAATTAGACTGCGATTTATGAGAACCACTTCTTTCTTTACAACAGTAGAGACTCTGAGAGCTCCGAGGTTCAGTGTCTTCTGTGTTGGGTCTGCTAACTCAACCTGGATATTGATAGATGTTTACCACTCATGGTATAGAGCCTGCTACTAAACTGCAACTCCGTAAGTATGTGTATGTATGTTAAGGGAGAATAGGGGTGTAATAAAGGAGTTATTAAGCAAATTTTCTGCCTGCACATATAGATGCCTTTATAGAGCATGTCATACCTTCATTGGCACTCCTACTCCTCGAACTGCAACACTTGTTTTCGAGAGCCCGTTCACCTCAAACTCTATCTTGTCTTCATAGCTGGTGGCCTGTGTAGGTCTGAAGACCACCATGAACTCACTGGTCTCTCCGGGCCTCAGGAGACACTGCTCGGAATGGACTTCAAAGTGAAGCTTGTTTTCAAACAGGCACTTGATGCTGTGTAAAAGAACATGGAATCTTGGCAATGTTCCTGTGTAGGCCTAATGAAAGCGCAAGGCAAACACAACCAGGAGCGTATCGTGCATTGTATAATGAGGAGGTAGTTGTGGTGACTAGCCTCATGTCTTCCTTCTCCTTGTTGGTAATGACTACAGTGGTTCTCCTTGGGCTCATCTCTGCCTGCTGCAAGAAGCACATGCCAAAGTCAACCTCTTTGGGAGTGAAGACAAGCCTGGGCTCCACTCCACTGCCCAGTATCGATATAGGCATGGTTGGACCATTTACAACCTGTGGAGGATAGCTAACACTTAGTACGAGTCAAAAATAAATGAGTCTGGGCTAACCTTTAGTGTGAGAGTGCAATTTTTGAGTGTTGTTTTCTTGGGAGGTGCCAAAACCAGTTCACAGCAGCTCCGGTTACGTGCCTCCACTGTCCCGTTAGCTCTTTCAACACTGACTAACTGACAGCCTTGAGCTCCTGCCTCTGCACACTCCTCGGAGAGGATCCACTGGTACTCTAAATTGTTATCTCCATGGTTTACGATAGTCACCTGGCCCAATGCTCTTTCACAAATTGGTACCTAGACCGATAGCGAATTAGTACGGAAAAACAGTGTGGTCGAAGTGTATATACCTTGCCAAAGTTTATTTCACAGTTGGCTGGAGAATATAGAGGAATATCCACGGTATCTCCACTGGTGTTTGTGAAGGAGAGCCCCATTTTGACCTTGTAGCCTTGGGCCTTCACGTTGAGTCGCAGTGGAGTCGGTTTGTGTTTTACGCGGCACTCGAGATTGAAACTGAACTCTTGCGGAAGACTAGCAGTGAATGACACTTCTATAGGAAGCCTGCAGGGGGGAATCACGTGTTGATAAAAACGCGACATGCCTCATTTGTAAGACCAAACCACTGAGTAAAATGGGGACTTACCGGGAATGAGGTGCTACAGTTCCCTTCAGAGGGTTCACCTTCACCCTAGCACTGTGACCTGAGCTGTAACAGCTCTTTTTGACAAACTCGAAAGACTGCACGGTTGGTTCGTTGTTCACCAAGTACACAGTCTCTCTGTGGGTGGAGCCCAGCTTGAGAGAATGAAAGTTGACATAGGCCCGGTCTAGCAGAACAGCGGGCTCAGTGGTGTGCCCCACGAGCAGGAAACTCTGGGACAGAGCTGGAATTGAGAACCTCCACAGCGACTCTACTGTCTCCTTAGCCATGGGAGTGAATTCAAATGCCATCTAAGCAAACAAAATGCAAGCTAGTTGACAAACAGTGTGGCACACTCGAAATACGTCTGTGCATTGGTAGGCACACACCTCAAATGTTTTCCCAGCTTCTATGAAACCCCTTGGAGTGAGGCATTTGAAGGATGAAGGCTGGAGAGAGGTAGTGGGCCTCCCTTCATACGTCCAGTTGAACTCATAGCCATGAAGAGTGGGATTTATGACCTCAAATTGCCTGGTGGGGAGTAACTAAAGCTGACCACACGATAGGATGCTATGAATACACATACTTTACGATCTTGATTCCAATTCCTGCCGAGTGGACTTCAATTGCTTGGGAGCTGTGGACGCTTCCTTCACCTCCACTGTGGCGCGCCACTGGATAGTCGCTGGGCTCCAGCTCAAAGTGACAATGTGGCATTAGGGCTTTGCCACTCACAAGCAGCTCCAGCAGTCCATTGGAGCTGTCCAGATGAGGAATACTGGCAGAGGGGAAGACGCGGAGTTACACTAGTATAGTGTTAGTGCACGCGTACTCAAGGGTAATTGCATACCTGCAGACTAGTTTGCATTCCCACTCTCTCACATCAAGAGGAGAGAAAGAGACGCTGAACACAGCATCCTTCTCTGGCTGAATCTCACCCACAGATGAAGAAATCGAGAAAGGTACGACTTCTCCACCCTCTCCAGCAATATTCCCTGTGTTCTCGTCTAGCTCTAGCTGTGACGAGCGAGGGGTGAGAGGGGACCCATCCATGTGCACTATGCTCCAGCTATAGGACAGGGGAATCTGGCCCGTATTGCTGAGGGGGAGTTTGTAGATTCGTGTTTGGTAGAGAAGTGTGTCGGTGAATCGGATTTCTTTTGTGGGGCATGTGTATTGGACGTAGTCCACAGTGGCCCACACACTGAGGACTAAATCCCTGCGGCTGTCATCCAGTACAGAGTTAAGAGGCTCTGCTTCTACTTCAACAACCTAAGAATTATGGTTGGAAAACATGTACTAGCAGTGTATAATATGATGCTAATACCTTCTTTTTAGCTGGTGATGGAAGTGGTTTTTCAGCATCGGTTGGGACATTCACCCAGTGGATTATCTTGTGGCGATCATCCCAATCACGCACCTGAGAAACACCTTGTTGTAAGTTTCACAACTACATACACACGTGCTACCTTTTCCAGTGGTTCTCGAAATCGTATTTTCCATATCTTCCCTGCGATGCGTTCTTGCTTCAGAGTGACAGGTTTGTCACCTTTGAAAGTGACACTGACATCTTTGGAGGTTGAGGGATGGAGATGGCCAGTAAACGGAGAAAAACTGAGGCCAGGAAGACTAGTGGGCCACTGGAACTTGACAGGCTCAGTGCCACAATTGGAGAGGGAGAACGTGATCTGTCTGCTCTCTCCCACAGCAAAATCACCAAAATCCAGGCTATTTTCATGAGCCGCTAAAGGGATCACAGCCGTCATCACACTACACACATCAAAATGCGAGTGGATGGACGTACCTTCCACCTTCTCTGGCTGAAGATCAGATACCCTGCTGATGCTCATTTGGTCCCGGTCAGCTCCACCGTGGATGTTTCTAATGCTGACATCATCCTGGTAGCCCTCTCCTACCAGCTGAATGGAGAGAGTCTCAAACTGGTTGTCTCTGACTCTCAGGCTCAGCTCTCCCTGACACTTCTCTGTAACACTGGGGTGGAAAGTCACTGGGAAGCTCTGGATCTCTCCAACATCGAGACTCAGTGACAATGGGAGAGAGGCCAATCTGTTTCTATTTTCAGAAATGTCTGGTTTGTCTGCATCATTTATAGTCTCTTGATCTCCACTTGGTACGGCCCCTGTGAAGTGTTGTTTTCCTGACCTGATCCTGATCTGGACAACTGCTGGGATTGTGCCCACATTTCGTAGGCTGACTTTGAGTGTCTGAGATTGATCGGTTAGCAATCGACGGAACACCAAGAGGGGCTGGCCCTTTGCGTTTTTCAAAGTTGGGTAAGTGACTTCAACCTGTGGTAAGTTGCCATCTCCATGGAGCTCAAATGTGAGGGCCTTCTGCTTGTAGTCCTCTGGATATGCCTCAAATGTTGCAGTGTAAGTTTGGATGGCTGTTGGCTGGAACGTGACCATGGCAAACACGTGTGAGTGGCTGGGAATGGTAAACTTGGATTTGGGTTCCACGTCAAATCCTTCAGCCGCTCCTTTTTGTTTGCTGGAAGTGGATGCAATCACGAGTTTTGCATCACACGGTATCTTGGTCGAGTTGATTATCTTGAAACGGGCCTGGGCTGATTGGCCGACAATGACACTCTTGAATGCAAACCATCGCTCTACCTCACCATAGACCCCAACACACCCCTTTCTGTGGAACAGCTGAGGCCCCATCACCCCCAGACTCTGACAAACTCCGTGCTCTTCGAATATTGCCCCTATATCTGTGGTATTTATTGCAGGCTCGAGTACATCTCCATAGATGTGGTAGATGATGGGAGGGTCGCGGACGAACCTGTCGCTTATTTCGATTATCAACGCCACAGCCTGTTTTCCAGGTCTGTCTGCTGTGCAGTCGACCTTTATTTCACTGCTATGACCCGCTGGTATCATACCAGTTGCTGGTTGAATTGTGAACATGCCTAGCACCAGCCTCTGTGTACCGGAAACAACTTCTGTTCTGATGCATGCTATCTCGGTTTTGCTCCTCCCGCCTCCCTTGCCTCCCTCCACCTTCAAGAGGGACGAGGTCTGTAAACTGTCTCGGCCTTCCCTGGCTCTACTAGATCCCCTTCCAGCTTTGGCAACTGGTTTCTTTTGCGAACCATCTGCTGCGACTATGGCATACCTGAAATCGAATTCCCCACGGTTCTCCAAAACAAAGGAGCATTGCTTCTTGGTATTGACAGTCATTGCCCCGAAATTTATGCTAGTTGTGGGGGACAGGCTGAACTTGGAGAATACGGCTTTTGCACTGACTTTGATGGGGATGCATGCAATCACCTCTCCTTGATCACCAACATGCCTGTCAATGACCTATGAAATGATGGATTAGCAAGCTGTATCACTACACACACTTTGTGTTGTTCACTAGCTTACCTCGCATTTGAGTATTGACTCATCTTTGATGGTGACTTCAGTAGTACTGTGAAATATCACGCTCACACTTGTCGCTTTCTCTGTTGCATAGAGTACTGCATGTGATGGGGCCACCTTGAATACGTCAGAGTAGCTCTTCCCGTTGCTGGCTTTGGTGAACGAGAAGGCAAACCCAATGTCGTACTTGCCCTTGTTTTTCAGCTGCATCAATAGCTTGTGATCACTGCCCGCAAACACACACGGAAATTCAAGGCCTCCATCAGTTCCTGCAGATGTTGTACATATGTACCTCAGAGCCATACAAAAGCAAACACCGTTAGTCTTGGGTGCCCAGACTCTTTGCTCGCGGGGAAAAAAGAGTCTGGTCCACTGACATAGAGCATTTTAGTCAGTTATAGTGCGTAAAATTGTTACCAACTGCGCAGTATGCAAGTTGGACCAAGTGCACTAAGCTATGCTTGTATAGAAGTCATGTGTCAACCATTACCAACATCCGCGCTATTCATTATTTCACCCCACGGTAACCAGGGGTGCACTAAACAAAATGCAGTGTCAGTGGAGCAGAGCCTTTCTTTCTGCCTGTGAGAAGAGTCAGGCTATGCGAGATTACCCTAAGGTTGTACCATAGCTACTACCACTAGCAGAGATTATGTGTACACACCTCTTGGGAAGCTGACGTCCATAGCTACATCATAGGCTTCAGCATTTATGCTTATGTTCTCGATTTGCACGAGACCCATGTGCTTTCTCTCAACATCTGATACCTACAAAAGAGTGAAAATGGGGACTTGGAAAACTACACACGTACACCTGTATGTTTGCGTCTACCTCAACTTTGATGGCCTTCTTGAGGACAGTGACTGGTTTCGCTGCGCGGAAGCTGACTTGCAGAGGAAATGTTGTCTTTGGCTGCACAACCCCCTGCTCCTGGTTGAAGGAGAACTCGTCTCCCAGCTGCTCCAGTCCACCCAGTTTCCAGGCCACCGGGATCAGGGTAGGGTTGGTGAGGGATAGAACATTTGTCTGCTTCCTGGACAAAAGAACATGTCAACATAGTCAGATGCACATTCAGCTAGAAAAGGATTGTTAGTGCAGACCTGTGCAGCAGTACTTTCTTGAAATCGAGTTGCTTCTGCTCAAACTTGATCTCGGGCACAACACCAGTGCACGTGATGGGAATGACAGCAGGATTTGGGTTGTGCTTTATGCAACACACCAGAGCATCATAATACGTGGTGCACTTCTCTGGGAAGGCCCATACTGTCAGAGTCTGAAGAAGGAAGAGTAAATCAGTTCATTATTCATGAAATGCTCTCTCTACTTAGTATCAAGGACTACCTGACTTTCTCTTGGCTCTAAAATCATGGCGGGTGGGTCCAGGATGTAGGTGGTGCCATCAGCATCCTCACGGAAGAAGAAAGACACCTCAGATTTTATCTTCCCGGGGTTGCTGATGGTTAGCTTCTCCATGTTCTCTGGGTGCAGACCTTTCTTGTAGCGCTCCCTGCTTTTACTGGCCAGGAGTGGTCCAAAGATATACAAGTCTTCTGACAGAAAGTATCTCTTGTGAACAATTTCATCCTCCCTCATGTACTTCTTGCAGTGTGTGAAGATTGTCCTGTTCGACAAAGCCAAAAGGTAAATCGTACTTACTCTAACTATGTAATCGTACAGACTATCGTGCTTAGCCTGAAAATGTATGCCTAGGGTGTGCATTTGTGCATGATATTTGATGCATGCGAATGATACATTATGCATGTGATACACATACTGGGGATCTCGACATATTGATGGAACATGGCATTGGCCGCGACAGAAGAGTTGGTGACGCTGTCGTGTGCCTGCAACCTCAAAATTGAATGTGTGATCAAACTGGCCACACTCCTTTGAGCTGAAGAGAAGTTTAATCTTCCTCTGTCCATGTGCTGGCACCACCCAACGGTACCCAGCCAACCTACAATTATGTAAGATGAGGACACAATAACGTGAAAACAATAACCTTACTTGGTAGGTTTGCTTTGTTTCTTTTCAACTTTTTCCCTATGTAAGACAAGCATTTTCATACAAATAAGGCAATTGACTTTAATTGTGGACTTACTTGTGTTCTTCCTCCAACACCACCCCTGGTAATGGTGAGGGAGCCTTGGAGGTCCCCTTTCTCCTTTTGAGTGGGGACTGCCTAGACTCTGACCTCTTGCGACTCTGACTCAGCGGAGGCTCTGGCACTGGTTCAGGTGCAATCTCAGAAGGTGGTGGTTCCACTTTTTCTGAGTTCCTGTACGAGAGACTATAGTACATGATACGGAAAAGGTTGGGGTCAGTGTAGATTTACGGGTCATCGGTATAGGCAGCAATGAAACTGAAGTGGTCCTGCTCAGTGAGCTTCATTCTCTTCAGGGGATAAGGGTACACTTGAAAGGTAACCGGCTTTGCTATTGGGGGACCGTCAGCACCCAGTCCAAGTATTTCTAGAACCTGCATTGAAAGAATCGGTGTTATATGTGATCGAAAAGAGAAAACTAACCTCTTCTGGTGTTGGTATATTACCGTCGGCACTGAGTATGTCATCTACCAACTCATTCGTGGGTTTGCTCCCTTTGAGTGCAATGAGAGGCACACCGAGTTCGTCTCTGTTTATTTCCGGTAGTGCTGTGGTTGAAGGGGCAAGGGTGGAAGGCTGAGGCTTGACATTCTTGTGTGTGGACTTCTTTACTGGAGTAAGTGATTCTGGCATTTCTTGCGGAGGAAGAGGTCGGTCAACTCGAGCTACTCTGTCCCAGTCAGCCAAAAGTGTTTGAACTTTTTGAGCATGGTGAACGTAGTACTCGAATTGTTTATCAAGGGGGTCAGCAGCAGCAATTTGACCGTCTGTGGCCATCCCTGGTGACTTTGCTTTACTCTTGCCTGGAGTTGTCGGGCCAGAACAAATGCTGGCCTGAGATGCCATTCCAAGGCCGTCTCTAGATAGTTTTTTTCCACCAGATGTGGGTCTTGAGGAAGACGCTAGCCCAGTAACTGTGGGCGCCTTCCTTGCCTTCCCCTTCTTCTTTTTCAACTCTTCTGCAATCCTTCTCTCCTCCTCCTCCCTCTCGTGCTCAATACGTTCCCTTTCCTCCCTCTCCTGCTTGATTCGACTCTTCTCCTTCTTGACTGCCAGAAGCTTCTGATCGAATTTGATTCTCTCTTCCTCACTGAGAGCCTCATACTCCTCTTCATCAATCTCCATTTCTCTCTTGGCTCTCTCTTCTTCCTCCTTCTCCTTCTCTTCCTGAAGCCTCTGCTCCTCTTTCGCCCTCATCTTGGCCTCCTTTTCCAGCCTGAACCTTCTCTCCTTTATCTCACTCAGTTCCATTTCAATCTTGGCCACGTATATGTGCTTTCGGTTGTGGATGACTTCCAGAATGATTTTCAATGCTGAAGACGGACACGAAGTGAAGATAGACTCTACGCCATCAAACACTACACCGCGTCTACAGTCATGCTGTTGTAGTCTGTTTTCAAGGATCTGGACAATCATCTCATTGGGAAGGGGAGCTGGGTTCAAGGATGATTGAGGAACTGCAAGGTCTGTGTCTGGTAGAGGCAGTACAGGGAATGGTGCAACTGGTTGGTGGACCTCCTCCGCCTTAGGAGCACTGTCCTTGGCCTCTTTATCTTTGATATCTTTTGTTGATACTCTCTTCCCCGTGGTATGAGTTGTGGTTGCAGAAGGAGCTTCCTCCTGTGCTTGCTGTTCTGTCTCGGCATCTATGCAGAGCTGCCTGAGCTTACGCCCTTCCGGTGTTTCAGCTTTGCTAATTAGACCTTTCAGTAACTCATCTACGTTTATCAGCACAGCTTTGTATTTCTCGGCTAAAGCTCTGGCAAGGGATGTTCGTCCTGACATAGGGGGACCATCTACTACAAAGGCTATCCCCTTGCGAAGTTCATTTTTGGCTCCTACTGGAGAGAGGTCAATGCCCATGTGTCGAGCTATGGCAGCAGCTACAGGCGGAATATCTATTCCTTCCACGTTGATCTGGCTGAAGCCCTCAATGTCGTCGTTTGTGAGGCCGGTGACCGACTCGATGATGCCAAGTTCGGGGACTGACAGAAGTGCCGTGGTACTCAGATCAGGTGTCCTTCCATCCAACAGCCCTTGCACCAGCAAATTTGCTGATGAAGATGGCAGCTTTGGATCAATTTCAGCTGCACTACCTTCCATGGTGCTCGGCATGTCCTCTCTGGATGGTAGCTCAGTAGACAATGGTGTGGGCTTTGTCTTTTCCCATGCCTGGAGGATCTCCTTGGGCAGTTTCTCCCCTGGAACTATGGGAGGCAGGAACAGCCGTTTCTGCCCATCATACCCTTTGACCCATCTCAGAATCTGGAAGAAAATTACAGCATAACCATGATAGCTAGGGGCCAAGGAAGGGACTGTTGATGCACAAAGCAAACGGGTAAACCAACCTCCTCTTCTTCTAAATACTGCTTGTCAAACTCGAGCGAGTATATTTCCACAGCATAAGGTTGTGGGTTTGAGACCAGGACCTCTGCCTCTGACCCATCAGCAAAGGGCAGAACTGCTGGGAACTGCACCATCTGTCGGTCAAACTCCACCCGTGGTTCACTGCCATGTCCTTTGACCACCAGGACTGTGTCACTGTCTGGGTTATGGCTGATTTTGAATGGTATTGTGTCCTCATAGTCCACCTGTCGGGAAAAAAACACTTCACTTCCATACTATGAAGATGCACTAATGCATAGCAATAGGTGCAAAATATAATCTGCAACAAATGTTTTGCATTGCACATTAAAGTGCGAAAATCTTTCATATTGCAAAAATTTTCACGAATAAAAAATTCCCTCTGCTGAAATCAGAAGCCAATGCATGGGATAATGTATTGAGTTCACTGCAACTGCACCTCTTCTGTGGGCATGAATCTGATCCTGATGTCATTTCTCTGGCCTGGTTGAAGAATTCCTGATGGTGGGTCCACCTCATAGTATGTCGGTGGTGGTTTGTCCTTCATTTTGCGACGAACATGCATCGGTACATGCTTTGGGACCTATACAAACCACAGCAGAGACAGTATGATATTATATATTATAAGAAGGTAAAAATGATTTTACCTTTTTTGGTGGCTTGTTAGTAACCGCAGACCAACGACAGCTGTGTATAAAATCATGTATATCAGAGAGTCAATGGTGGAAGGAAAATCTTCAGTAGGGGGTGTACCTGACGTGAAAGGGGTTGCTGATGCAGATCGTAGCAATCTTGCACTGGCCACAAATAACTGTCTCGAAATCTATTTCATGCCTCGACAGTTGGAGAGCAGGCTTTGTCACAGTTGCTGAGAGCAAAAGGGAATACACTGGACCATTGAAGAGCTGTTGGAAAATGAGACGAGGAGTGAAAATTCGTCTAAGATCATTGTTTCAAATGCTGACATTGAAGGGGATTAGGGCCTGAACATGCCCCAGTGGACACTGGACTGCAGTGGGATCAAACTGCACGTTGAACTCTAAGCTCTCAGCCTCTGGTGCACCAGGAAGAGCTCTGACTTTGGACACGAGATCGAGTGAGAACCCAGTCCCCTCGAGAGTCTTGTGAGTCGTGTTGAAGGACACAGGGCAGGAGCCCGTGTTGGTGAGAGTGACCCTACGTGTCTCCACTGACCCGTAGACCACGTAGCCAAAGTCAAGCTGATATGGTGGCAGAGAAGGCCTGCAGAGTCATAACGAGACTTCAATACCACAACAATATTGTTTTCCTAGAACAACCTTAGTTTTCCCTTATTCATGTGGGGCGAATCGCTTTTTGTGACAAACTGTTTGACCAGTAACCTCTCCATCTCCAACAACAAAGACTGAAAAACAAAAAAAAACACATGTGTACATCTGGTGCTATTACACCCACATCTGACTGGCGTACATCGTCAGAGACTCTCTCTATCATGCCTATGGATTTTTGTGCAGTTTCCCTCAGTTGGCTGTGCTCAGGGTCCAATAGTTGGCTGGGAAGGTCAAACCCAACACGAGGAAACACTCCCTCTCCTACTAATGTTATCTCATCTGGCTGCAAGTGAGCTACCTGGACCTGGATAGTACAATATGCCCAAGAATTATCTTGTATAGAAGTACTATGCAGATAGTATGAACCTGAAAAGTTTTCTGACATTTTTCTGCCACTCCAGGTTGAAAGGTGACGGTCAGTTTCATGTTTTCTAATGCCTCAATGTGACCCTTGGAGAACAACAGCATACATAAAGGGCTGAGTGATACACGAGCTACTTATTGGGGGCATACTGAGTGTGGCTGGACAGAGATTTCCCCTGGAGCCAGGTGTGAGTCTCCAGATACTCCAAATGTAGTGAAATCCATGTCCACCTTGCCAGTGTTGTACAACACTACCTCAGCGGTCAACATTTGGCCATAGAGCTAAATATTTGCACCGGCATAAGTAAGGCCATTATTCAATGCTTCATTGTGTACCTGCTGTCCAAAGTCGATGCGCTTGTGGTTGAATCTGTACTGAACGTTGGAAGCTTCACCGCTGAGTCTAACTTGGTAAGTGGGTCCTCCGTCCACCTTGCAGGCTGCCACACACTCAGTGGCAATGCCAGTGTAGCCATAGAAGGTGAACTGGACCTCCTGGGACTCTCCGGGGAGCAGTGTGCCATGCAGAGGGAGGATGTCAAATATCTGCAAAAACAGCATTGACATCTGGTGAATCAATACTTCCACAAAACACATACCATGGCATACATGTACGTACATGCAAGTCACTTCGACAAAGGTAATGCAAGTTAGGTCAGAGTCCAGTCCTCAAAACACTGTATCTATGGCCAGCGGTTGTTACCTGTTCTGGCAACTTCACACAGGCAGCCACTGCGTTCATGCAAATACATATGTACAGACCTGTGTCATCATTACCTGCTCAATCCTGACAAGTTTGAAAGGATCATCTACCAACTCCCATGGCTGCTTCTCCCTTTGACGAGCAACCGACCGAGCAGTGTTGTCAACAACGTCACCAATACTGGCTGCCACAGTGGGTATTACTACAGCTGCAGCAGCTTCTTGGACATTGACCGTATCTGCAGGAGGCTGTAAAGATTCACCTCCTTCATCTCCCTCTGCCAGACTGTTGCCACTTGCTTGCAGATCCCTGCTACCTTCCACATCTTCTCTCTCTAGGCTGTCCTCTGGATCGTGCTCAGGTAAACTACTCTCCTCCTCTCCCTCCCTCTCTGAGGCTTGTTCCACTTCTTCTCCTTCTTCCCCTTCTTCCTCTCCCTCTTCCTCCTCTTCTCCGTCTCTCTCGTCCTGTTCCTGTGATTCTCCCGCACTGTCCTCCTCTGTCAGTGAGTCGGTCTCACACTCGCTCTGCATGTCCACACCCTCATCGCACTGCTCTGGGTCCTGTCTGCGTACCGGTGGCCGCCGTAAGAAGTACCACTTGTACTTAACCTCCAGTGGACTGGTGTTTGTCATCTTCACATACTGGATGGTCTCAGTATCATTCAGTATGCACCCAAAATCAACCTGAGCATAGAAACACCCAGACACGGGGCCCTCAAACACACATAATATATGAAAAATGGAACCAGCATACACAGGGTATCTGTTGGTGTAACTGGGAACTTTTGAGCTTTTCTGTTATGGTAAGCATGGACTTACATCAGTGCTTTCAAATTCAACGTTGGGGAAGTAAACCTTGGCGTTGAGGCTCAAGTACTCCTGTAAGAATATGTGAGAGGTAAGACACGCAGAATCAACTTTGAAATCATTGATCTTACCCTCATTGGGTGTTCCTTGTAGGCTACAACTAGCTGGTTCTCTTCTGTGCGGCTGCGTCTGTCTCTACAGTAGCTAGGATCAAAATGGATCACAACATCTTTGTTTTGAGAGGGCTCCAGTTCCAGCTCCTGCATTAACATTGATCGCATGACACTTTTTGTGCATGCTTTTAAATTCGTACTAGTTGCTGCAGCTTTCCACCGATGTTGTTGAAAGTGAAGGGATAGATGCACATCAGCACAGCAGTGAATGGTAGTGGAGAGACATTCTGTAGGCCGAGACTCTGTGCCTGCTTCTCCAGCTCACTTCCAGGTGGCTAGAGAGAGTGCATGTAAAACCAATGGTGAGGCACGTAATTTGTACGTACAAGTCACGCTTTTTGCAATAAAATCAGCGAAATCCACATGCCCGAGAGCCCTTCCATGGTGGCATTTCGAGCACAGCGAGGACACTACGTAAAGGGCCCGAGAGCTTCTAAGGACGACAGTATTTAAAATATACCCCAACTTGTTTTTTCTCATGCGCGGGTTGCGTGGAGGAAACAGCACCGCTGGCACTAACAGACGCACATGTTGTCAAAAACGTTGAAATCACATTGTCTGTTTTGTAAGCGCAGATTAGATAATGTCATTATTAAACTCTGGAAACTGCACTTTGTATGCACCTGGTATGAAGAAAATGATATTTCTCTTGTGCTGAAGTGAGTGAGAGGTGAGATGAAGTTGGCCAAAACGTCCACTGTCATGATCCTCTCCTTGTGCGCATTCTTGCCAATGATGGCATGACAGATGAGACGCTCTGCCACTGATTTTGGCCTAGAGAAAATATTGACTGAGTTAGAATGCTGCCAGCAGCTAAGATGCGCGGTCGTAGAATCTGGTTTGGTTTAAAATCCACCAAAACCCTACGACTATTAATCTCACGACCCTACGAATGATAATATGTAAACACTGCTTCATGCAGGCAATATTATGAGAAGTGTTTTTTGCTGTGTTGGCTCACTCTTGGGAGGATCCCTCCAGTGTAATAACACAGTTCTCGAAAGGCTCCAGCACAACCTTGTCTGGGATTATCCTAAACACTGGTCTCTTCAGCTCTGGTTCTGGTCTAGGTCGCTGAGAACACACACACACAACAGTTTATAAGACGTAAATTTTTTGGTGTGATACAAATTAACGACAACAAGTTGTCAACCTCCTTTTCATGATTACACACAGAGGCTATTTTACTATACACCCTCCAAGTTTTGTGGGGTTTGCATTTTGGGGGAGAATCTGTGATTCTACGCTCTAGGTAGCCATCTACCTTGCGACCAATATCCTTCAGGTCCTGATTGGCTCTTTTTATCTCCATCTTCTTCAGCTTGGCCGTCGAAAACCCCTGTGTGGTCCAGGAGAGGGCCTGCAATCGTCTGCCCCTGTTCATTAGAGTAAATTGCTTTCGACACGGCCACGAGTTGCAAAAGTGGGGACCCAGGTCCACTGTGGAGGTGTAAGTGAATCAACGGTCGCACAGGTGTTTTATAGTGAAACCTTTTGGTTGAAGAGGTGGCTGACTGACTATGGTGGTTCCCTCTCCCTCAGCACTGAGAGAAATGGTGATATTCACCCCCTTTGACACAACCACCGTCACTTTGTCTGTAAACCTGCGTTGAAAACAACCATTAGCTACACTACACTTTGTTAAGGGGTTTCTTTTACCTGAGACAGTCGTCAATGGTGGCTGTTACGATGAGCTCGAGTGTTTCCTGAGGGGCTATCACACCAGATGGTGGCTCCACTGAAAACACCGTCCTCTCCCGACTCTGCAAAATGCCAAAAGCACTACTGATGGTGAATACGGATACCCCGAAGGTCGCAAGGCAAAGGCAAAGCAAAGCCTAAGTTACAAGTCGCAAGGCAAAGCTACAATTCAATGACACCTTGGAAAACTCTTTTAAAGCTTCCCTGGCTGGAATCCGAATCCACGACACTCAGGAAGAGCTGCTCTACCCACTGAGCTACCAGGGTAGCCCAGTAGGTAGAAGCTCAAATCTACAACACAAGACAGCATCACAACAACTCACCAAGACACACTCATATTCTGCTGGTATTAAAGACTCATTTGAGAGATAGACGGTTTTCGGTAGTGGAGTCAGCACTGGCTGCCTGCCCCAGTGCAGATCCGTAGACGAAACATTAATGACAGGGCCTTCCCCGACAAAACGAATGGCCACTTCCAGCGGAGCTTCCAGACTCCCGAGAATGGTAAACACAGCAGCGGTGATGACCTCACCAACCACCTGCGGTTCTATCTGCAGCGGAAGCTCCAGTGTCGTCCGAGGATCAATAACTCCACTGGAAGGGTCCGTGGAGTAGTGTAGAGTACGCTCGTCTAGTGGCGGCTCCATCTGATACTTCACGGGGAGGTGTGAGGGGTTGGCGAGTGCAACGGTGAGGGTGTAAGGATACTGCAAGAAGCAGCGACCGTAGTCGAGGTACGGCGTCTCCAGTCTGATGGCTGGGACCTCCGAATTGGCAGAGATGGGCAGGGAGGATTTCTCTTCTCCAGCCTCGGCCACAAAGAGAATGAGCTCCTTGGAGTAGACCTTCACCGCCGCGGGAACAAAGTTGATCTGTATTTGATGTGTACACGTAATACACATCACTGAGAGATAACGTTAAAGGTGAGCATTTACCCTAATGCTCTGACGGTAGTTTGCCGGTAGGACACCACGCTTCGGCTCAACGTCAAATTCCACCCCTTCGTCCACTGTTTCCCCTTCAAGACCTGATCCTGTGCTTCGATTGAAGGGACCCTCAGGTGATAGGTCATTGGAATATCTGACGTGTTGGTCAGCACAACCTCTCGACTGGACATGAAACCTGCATAACCAGAAATGTATCGATTTCCTGGTGCTCATAGGTCCATTATACAGGGGAACCCCTATTTGCCTGCCAATGGTGCGAGGGCATATTTGCAATGTATTAGTGATGCAGGCACTGCGTTGTGTAGCTTCGTTCCCAGGCCTTCCGCGCAAATGAGAAGGCCTGCAACATACTCGGTGCATCTACGCACTTTTTACACATCTCCCTTGCGCGGAAGACCTGGGAACGGTGGTGACATAGCACAGTGGTTCACTGTGCTATGTCACATAGGCATCCCATTGGTGGGCATTTCGTGCATTCGAGCTCCCCTTTGCTTGTGGGCCTTATAGTGTGTGTGGTCTGACCATATGGGACTGTTCCAAACTTGATGTGTGTCGGATCAAACTGGAATGTAGGTGGAATCACGACGCCCCTGTATATATACCACAGAAAATACAGGGCATCAGTGGAGCCGGTTGCATTGTGGGAGGTTAAGGTCTCACGTGATTCTGAGAGAGAGTGGGGCAGGAGAGCCACCCACGGCCCACTGGAAGTCCTCGCTGAACTCTCCCAGTATTGTGGATTGGAATGATATCTGCATGGGTTTTACAATAGCTCTTGTTGTTTTCTTGTAAGGAAGCGAAGTGACATATACACCATACACATCCTTGTAAGGATAGTTCAACTATATAACCACAAGTGTTGTACACATGTAACAATGGTAGTTGTGTGGTGTGTGTGGGATAACCTGGATAGACTGCAGGGCTCCAGGCTGAAGGACACCACTCGAGGGAGAGAAGGTGAAGAATGGACCAAACAAAGAGCTTGAAGGAATTAAGTTGTAGCCAGCATCTATGTCTCCCTTGTTCTCCACAATCACCTAATGAAAGAGCAAGTGCATACTCGATAGTGTTTGTGTTGGTCGCAGGCCGATGCAACTAGCACTGCTGTATGTATATATCTGCTGCATAGCTCGATCATTAGGAAGAGCACTCTGCCTAGCTAGAACTCAGAGTGTGGGTTTGAATCCCACCCGGGATGACATTAAAATGGGCGCGGGTTTGTTGTGTGTGTTGCCTTGGCCTTTGTGACCACGTCATGTGCACATTTAGAGAGTCTATATGTACATACCTCATATGCATGGGCAGAGTTGACAAAGACATTCTGTACGTCGAGGGTGTCAAAAGAGAACATGAGACGAGGTCCGATTCCCTGTCCTGTGACTCTGAGTGGCAGTCGAGACTCTCTTCCAGTCACATCACAGTAGGCCACTCGAGAATAACTGCATTTGTGGCATGCATAAATCATAGCAATGAGCAATAATAGCACCTTGGAGCTATGTATACAGAGAACTCATTGCTTGCACTTGTATTTGCTCCTCATGCATGCAGCACACATCACATGTAGTAGCTATTGAAGTGGGAGATGGCTGTACCAGTGTGCACATTACCTGGCAGACTCAGACGGAGTGAAGATGACAGATATTTCTGCTTGAGAGTTGGGCCATATCTCACCCTCCTAATGAGCAACAGTGTGTCGTATTGAGGGCAAATGGCTAATACAATTTGGTTGGACTCACCACTGGATCGATGCTGATGTTGTCATCAGAGAAGAGGAACTTTTCCATATCAACAAAGCTCTGTGATAGTACACACTCAATGTATGCTCTATATGGAAAGCTTCTTCACCTTTTCTGTGAGCCAGACTGTGTGCCACAATGGGTAGCCGGTCCCTCATGGTTGGGTCAATCAAGGATCGCTCCAGCAGGACTTCCTGTGCCATTGCCTCTTCCTCCTCCAGCTGAGTCAAATTACTGTGGCCATACACAACATGGTGGACATGCCACATGCGCACACACAGAGGTTATTGTGCTCACAGTAGTTTCTGGGCCTCCTCCTCTTCCACACTGGAAAAGGCCTTCCATTGGTAGTGGACTACCACCTTACTCCGGTTGTGCAGAACAACAGACCTGTGCATACATACGTACATGGAAAAGCATGTTCTAAGCAAAATTGGGGAGGATGTCATTTAGCCTAGCTATTTGAGCACTCCCTTTACACCTCCCTTATATAAAATCTAAAACCTCTGAGTGGAGAGTCTTATGTAAGTGTTCTCGAGTTTCAAGGAGCTTCTGTCCAGCCGTACATTGACGTCCACAGAACTGCCGTGCAGCAAACTATACACACTCTCACCTGACAAAGTAAGCACACAATGTGACATACTATACACAAGTTAGTGCTATACCGGTGTTGTAGTGGACAGTCAGCTCTGCAGAGAAGTCTCCAACGGTGGTTGGACAGAATGTGACAGTGACTTGCATGCAGTGTCCCACCTCTAGACTGGCTGAGGTCGGAGCCACTGAATATGGACTGGGGAATGAATGGGGTACATTGTGACGAAAAGTTAACAAGGTTTCAAAACCTCCTCTCATCATAGTCTCTTAGTTTCAAGCTTAATCACAGGCCTTCAAAGGAACAAGGCAACAGCCTGGATCAAGGCTAAGGCTAGGTGCACAGTATGTAGCATTGCCCTAGCATCACATTGTTCCACGCGTATAGAAATGGATTTATCCTCGCGATGAGGCACATGCAGCACGCTGCGACGGGGTAATACGACGTATTGTGAACCTAGCTTTTCACAGTACGTCGTATTGCCTCATTGCGCCATGCCGCAAAGATAGAAATGGGTTCTATCCTCGTGACACGGAAACGCAGCATGGCACGACGGTTCAATGTGGCAGCAATGCATACAATCAAGCGCACCGTGCAACAAAAATTTTTCATAATGGAGAAGTTTGGGAGGTAGGGACAATGCAACATAATACTGTGAACCTGTAGCCTACAAGTCTTGTATCACTAAGTACGGTAGGTACAGGGATGGGCATGGTACCATAGCATCATAGATGTATGGGTATGGTATATACCTTGCACACTTCTCTCAATCTAAACATACCTTTGGGTTTCAAGAGTGAACTGAGCTTCCTTGTCTCCAACATTCCTCACGAGAATTGTCTTACTTGATGGATACTGTACACAGAGGGAAGTAGAACGGGTTGAGCAGTTTAATCCACAGTCCATGCAGTTTATGTGGTGGAAGCACAAATGCATACTGTTTAGCCTGAAAATATTAAGTGCGCTGGGTAACCTTGACTGGAGATGCTGGGAAGTGGATATCATCAGGAAAGTCCAGCAGAGCCCGCACACCCACTGCCCTAACTGGCACCACAAACCTTTCCCTCTCAGTAATACACACCAACTCCAGGTGGTAGTCCTGCAAATTGAGAACTCCACATGAATATCTTATGCAATATTCGGCTTACACAGGTGTGTAGGGAGGAAGATATAACCAACCTTTTTCAAGAGTCATTAGCGCAGTAAGCACTGAGCCGCAACTCTCAGACAAACGCTGGTCTCCCCTTTTTCCCTTTAAGTACTGTCTGTGGTCAGCCCTCCATTGTGTCTGGGAGTTGTGGCTCAGTGCTTAGTGTGTTACTTTCCCAATACACTTTGCCTGAGTTCGACTCCTGACAAAAGTTGATTTTTCTCTTTCTCGCTACATGCATGTATAAGCTTATCCCAAAATGACATAAACTTCAAATGTATAAGCTTATCCCAAAAAGACATCAACTTCAACCTGTATAAGCTTATCCCAAAAAGACATCAACTTCACCCAAGGTGAATAAAATGAAATCAGGAATGTATACCTTCCTCTCGTCAGGGGTGAAGAGGATGAGATATGTGACCTCCATGCCAGGGGCCACCTTGCTCCCAGCTGGTCTCTGGCACACAACTCCGAAGTAAGGAGAGTCTTCGTGAATCACTTTCAGGTGACGAGCAACCTGCAAAAACATGCACACATCAATACTGTGGATCGACAGCTCTGTAGTCCTTTACTCTGTCATTGTTTCTAAAGTTGAGGGGAAACTCGTATGTCTGCTGAGGCTGGAACTGCTGAAAGACCACCTCCGATGGGAATGGCTGGAACAACGCCTGGTCCATACTCACACAGAAATCCTGCAAGGTACCAACCAACCAACCACCAATGCAATGGCGGCTATGAAACTATGCAGTTATAATATGTCATGTGAAGCAAAATCTATGGCGACTTACTTTGGATAATACGCTACTGAACGTACAAAGGACAGAAGTGTAGGTTGAAGTGGGG